GAGCTTTAGCTAGCCCAATTTTCCCCCTACAACTGTTGGTTACTTGTGTATACTCCTCCTTTGTGATTTCCCCTTTCTTCCATTTCTTTTACATGTCCTTCTTAACTCTCAGCTCATCTGTAAGCTTCTTATGCAGCCACACCAGTTCCCTTAGATACCTCCCACTTTTCTTTCTTGTTGGTATTGTCTACATTTGGTTCTTCAATATTTCTCCTTTTAGAAATTCCCATGCTTCTTGGACTCCCTTCTCATCGGTTATTTCTGACCATGAGATCACACCCAGTAGCTTTTTCAGCTTTTCGAAATTGGCCTTCTTAAAGTCCAGAGTGTTTGTGCGACTTCACTCAGTTTCCCCTCGCCTTTGTATCCTGAAACTTAGAAGAACATGATCAATTCCTCCCAAGTTTCCAAGCACTTCCACTTCATCAACCAGTTCCTCCCTATTGATGAGGACCAGGTCCAAGATAGATGATCCCTTTGTTGGTTCTTCCACCTTCTGGGAAATGAAATCGTCAGCAAGGCAATGGAGGAATTTGTCAGACCTTGTACTCTTGGCAGAGTGTGACTCCCAACAGATATCGGGGAAGTTGAAGTCCCCCATGATTACTACTGTATTTCTCTCCTTTTTAAATGTTTGGTGGAGGAGACTCTTGAGAGTCCCATAGACTGCAAGAAGATCAAACCTAGCCATTCTGAAGGAAATCAGACCTGAATGCTCAGTGGAAGGACAGATCCTGAACCTGAGACTCCTGTACTTTGGTTGAACAATGTTCTTGAAGCTACCAGCATGAGTTTGACCAAACTGCGGGAGGCAGTGCCTGGCATGCTCTGGTCCATGGGGTCACAAAGAGTCGGACACTACTAAACGACTAAACAACAACAATCTGCCCATAGCAATTGTCACAACTTTGGCAGTTTTAGGTCTTGGGTGGAATCCTTTAGTCTATCAAAAGAAGGGTGAGGTGGTGACGATACCAGTGTTCCCCATTAAAGGGGTTTTTGAGGGAAGTCTCTGGCCTCATGCGCTCAGCAGGCAGCATTGAACTCCCCTCAACAGCGTAGAGGGGGGCTAGCTGTGTAAACACACGTTTTTGCAGTGTCCCCCCATATTCCAATTGACCCTGCTTTGCCTCAGACCCCCATCAGGGGGCTGAGAGGTATACACGCCCAATGCCTTAGCCAAGGTTTCCTACATCTGAAATTAAATAAAGTTGTGGCCATTTTAATTCCAAATTTGTTGTCATGCATATTCATTGATAGAGCTCAGGCTCCCGGGGGGGGGGGCGGGACTGCGACTGGGCACGCAATAAAATATTTTGATCACATTCTCAGCTTGGACAATCGCCACATTTGAAAGAAACAGGATAACTTATCCCCAGACACATGTGCAACCACATCATGCATAAACCCTCGTATTCCATGGTACATTATCATTCCACAATAGTTTTCTTTCTCCAAAATACTACCGGTTCCACATGCAGGGCCAGCTAGACAGGCAGAGCTTTGTAGTTTGTTTTGGATGTGGCAATGGTGGCAGGAGGAGGAATTTGTATTTGTTAGGCAGTGGGCAACATTCTGGTACAAGCTGGGCCTGTACAAAACAGCCACTTTCATGTTTAACTGAGCCTCTTAGACTTGTCAATCAGGTCAGCGGTTCAAATCCTTGTGAAGGGGTGAGCTCCTGTTGCTTTGTCCAAGCTCCTGCCAACCTAGCAGTTCGAAAGCACACCAATGCAAGTAGATAAATAGGTACTGCTGTGGTGGGAAAGTAAAAGGTGTTTCTGTGCACTCTGGTTTCCATTAAAAATTTACATGGTTTTTATTGTACGGTACACTGATACTTTTCTTGTAAACTTGCTTGATATTTTTGGGGCTATAGTGGTATATAAATGCTTTTTTAATAAATGAATAGAAAATATAAACTGTTCAAAGATCTTCATATATGCTTTTTTTATAAATAAATAGAAAATATAAACTGTTCAAAGATCTTCATATATTATTATTACTATTAAATTTGTTATTCACTTTATCTTGCCCAAGGCAACCCAAAGTGACTTCCAGCCAACCATATATACAATATATATTTCAGCTAGATTTGTACAAATACTAAGTGTATAACACTGTGGAAATATAATGATGCTGTTTATTCAGAATAAATCACATGGCTTTCAAAGTTAGACCCATATTTCTATTTGTGCTCCTACACATCAGGGATCCATTTCGTTTGCTTCTATCTCTGAGGGCTCTGCATCTTTCGCACAGGTGGCCTTTGTACCAAATTATGGCACAAAAATAATCTAAAATGTATTTTAGTGCAATGTGATGACTCATTGCTACTTCTGCTTATTTTGCAATCGTGTCACAATTAATATATTAGCAGAAGCGGAAACACATGTGTAGTTTATAGAAATAATATGACATGGAAAGTTTTAAGAATAAAGTCACTTTAAGTGCAAGATCGAGTTAAAGATGCAGTTAATAATCCTTAGTTCTCACTTCAGGTATGGCTACGTGTGAATTCTCCTTCTCTCTCTCTCTCTCTCTCTCTCACACACACACACACACACACACTACTTGAGTTTGGCATTACGTGAGACCCTACAATCCTAGATCAAAAAGCCTATGCAGATATTGCAATTGTGTATGTTAATTGTAAGAATGAGGATGTGAAATGCCACCACAGCTCACCAGAAAATCATGTATACTTTTGAGATCACTAAGAGAAGTTTGGTACAGAAACCAGGTTCTCAGAGTGATTTTAGGAGAGCAATTCAACTTCACTTCTACAGTTCACAGAATTTCTGGGTCCAGGTATAAAACTTTTTAAGGAAATATTGCTGGACAGTCATGCCATCAGCTTTGGGACTACATTGAGATGTAAAGGTATTGGATTGTTAGCTGACCTATTTGTAAGCCTTGCTCACTTTTGGGTGTATTTTAAACGAACTGGTAATTGTTGGATTCTTATTGTGTCAGTTTACAGTGATAACCTTTATTATGCTTATGTAATATGATAATAGGGTCATTTTATATTATAATATAAGTTATAATAGGGCCATCGTTCTACCCAGACACTGAGGTCCAACACCGAGGGCCTTATGGCGGTTCCCTCACTGCGAGAAGCTAAGTTACAGGGAACCAGGCAGAGGACCTTTTCGGTAGTAGCGCCCGCCCTGTGGAACACCCTCCCACCAGATGTCAAAGAGAAAAATAACTACCAAACTTTTAGAAGACATCTGAAAGCAGCCCTGTTTAGCGAAGCTTTTAATGTTTAATAGGTTATTGTATTTTAGTGTTTTGTTGGAAGCCACCCAGAGTGGCTGGGGAAACCCAGCCAGATGGGTGGGGTATAAATAATAAATTATTATTATTATTTGTGTGCCATTTTCAGCACAAACACGGTTGTGAATAGTTTGGTATATAAATAAATTGACTATGCCTAAAATTAACAAGCATGTCTGCAGAATTAGCACTGCCTGAGCAAATATGCACAGTTGACTTCAGTTTCACACAATATACCCTTGTTTTTATACTTAATTTTAGAAGTAAAGCACTTAATCAAGAACAGAGGAGGCTGCTTTGTGGATTTGCTTGAAGAATTGACTTTCTACAGTTTGCATCTGAAACCCTGTCATCTGCACACTACAGATACTTTTCTTGTAGTCTTATCCTCATTTGCCTGTAGACCAAGACACAGATAGCATAAGACAGAACTTATACGTGTGGCTTTAACAGAGCAAATCAAATGGGGTGCAGGAAATGCCTTTCCTAACGCCCAGCTGAGCTTGCATAGGGGATAACTTTTTCCTGTTTCGACAGCTTCCTTTTTTAAAAAGGGGGGAGCAAAGCTTACCTCCTACTGATTTCAGTAGGAAGGAGATAAACTGTACCAGCTGCAAGACTGGCATAGTCTATTCGCTGTTCTGGGGGAGGGGGAATCAGAAGAATAGGAGGGCTTTGGATCCTGGACATCCATGAATAACCTGGTATGTTCCTTTTTTTGTCCTATCTAACATTAGAGGAGTCATGGCAGAGGACTTTTCCACAGCCTCACAGGGAAGGCTTGAAAGGCCGGGTCTCCTCTCCAAGGGTGAACATCTGTTTCTCGCTTTTTTTTCAGAAAGTAAAAACTAAAATGTCCTATGGCTCCTGGGATGCCCTCCTAGAGATCATAGGACTGCAGCATTAGAAAGTATGTAGAAAGCATATACCTTCAAGTATGGAATAATTACTTTAATAGTATCCAACTGCAATATAGAATATATTTAACAGGTGTTAGAGATAGTAATTAAAAGTCCCAAAATCACCCAAAGGGTCAAGAAAAACATGAAAATATGAGATCTATATTCTTTATTCCACCCAAACTGCATTGCAGTCTTCCAGTCTTTATATTTACATTATTTGCGACTCTTTCTATAAGTGCCAGTACAAATGTAACTGATGATAATCCAAAACAGCTTTACAAATGTTTCCCAAAGCAGTGTGCATTTTTTGAGCAGTTTGTTCTGATGTGCAATAATATATATACTATGTAGGCATATATATATTTTACCAAAAGCTTCATAATATGAAATATTTTCCACAGAAAGTAAAACATCCCACTCGCAGCTTATTCAGATTTCAGTTACAGAGACTTCTGCTTTTCAAGTTAGTGCAAATAATGAAAGTAAGAGCCTGAGCAAAATGATGTACAAACAATGAAACAAGAAAACAGCAAACACACCAGCCAACTCCCTGCATATAACATTTAATTAGTATATTATTAGTAGTCTTTATATACAACATATTTAAATAAATTGGCTTATTTGAGCTATAGGCAACATATTTACAAATACAAATAAAATACGTTCCTTTCACACGAATATGGAATGTCCGACATATATGAAAATAAAATGCATCTAGTAACAAAACAATGCTGTAAATAAAAAAAAGAGCAAGATGTCTTCTCTTTGTCTTGGGACAGATTTCAAGGCACTTTCTCGGCAAACCAGAGTTCAGGCTTAGCAGAAAAGTCTGAAACAAAAAACAGTTCACTTAGATTCCCAGCTATTGAATAATAATAGTTTCAGTAGAAACCAACACATTTATAGGTTCTTGCTTACTAAAAAATGAAGAAAAAACAAACTTTAATGACTACAGGCTTTCCCAGTGCAAACATGAAATGCTCAGTGGGCAACATAACTGCTGGTACCACCCCACCATTGGAACATTCAACTGAAGATACATTTTGAGAGCCCTGACAAATCGGGGTTCCAGTTGTACGGAAAGTCTTTTGCACACAGAGTGGATATGCACACAGATTCTGTTCCAAATAAATGCAGATTAGCAGCAAAGTGGTGATCCTGTTCCATTTTTGAAACAAGAAATGCTGCATTTTTAATGCTGGCTTATTTGCATACCTCAGAAATTAACAAATATTTCCTGCCATCTACAAAAAAAAGAAAGTTGTAACTATCTCCACCATGGAGTCATGGTCTGATATTGTTGATAACCTGTAGTGCAGCTTAAAAAGCTAGTTGTTTAGAAAACTGAAGCCATGCTTTACCTATTACCGTATTTTTCGCTCGATAACACGCACCTGACCATAACACGCACATAGTTTTTAGAGGAGGAAAACAAGAAAAAAAAATTCTGAATGAAACAGTGGATGTATCATTTTTGTGCTTCATGCTGTGGCCACAGACATGTGATTTGACCGTGAGTTTGGGGTAGCCCAATGCAAAAATCCTGAGAATCCATGTGGATCTGTGCTTTGTAACCACGTTTTTGTACCATTGCAGCCCCAGGCAACAGTGGGTGCGTGATTTTTTTGGTGCAGGCTGTAGCCATGGATATGCTATGTGATCTGATGGTGAATTTGGGGTGACCCAATGCAAAGATCCTGAGGATCCATGTGGATCCGTGCTTTGTAACCACGTTTTAAGTGGGGAGGGAAGGAAAACATAGAAGGGACAAGGAGCACCGAGAGGGGTGTGCGGAGAAGCAGCTGGCTAAGAATGCAGGAGAGGGGTTTTACCGGAGGGAGGAAACGAAGGCAAAAGTTCCCCCAGCCACCCACCCAAGCCAGCCAGCCAGCTAGCGCTCTCTCTCTCTCTCTCTCTCTCCCCCCCCACCTGCATGTTGCCTGCGAGTCCCTAGACGCAGCAGCAGCACCGGAGCAAGGAGAGGAATTACGGTAGAAGGAAGGACGCTCTGCTTTCCCCTCTGCTTGCCTGGAGGGGAGGGGTTTTCTCTGCTCTTTGTTCCGTTTGAGCAAACACAGTAACGAAACAGAAGTGGGTGGGCAGTAAGACCCTGAGGCAGAATGCAGGAAAGCAACAGCTTTCTCTCTCGGGAGGCTCGAACGCCCGTGTGGCTGCCTGCAATCAGTTTACCACACCGAGAATGAAGATAAACTGGTAAAATAAGGGGGCTGGGTTAAAGCTAAAGGGAAAACCTCAAAGATCCCTCAAGAACAAGGCAGGGGTTCAGGGCTCCCAAAGCCGAGCTGCAGCCTTAGAAGGGAAAAATGGGGCTTTCGGAGGTGGTTTTTACTGCCCCGCTGCTTCCAATTTTTTAAAAGGCAAATTGCAGGAGAAGATGCAGCAGTCAGTCACTCTCTCACTCCCTCCAAGCACCCACGCTAGCGAACAAACACACAGGCAACCACACACTCACAAAGCACACACACTAGCAAACACACAGTCGTGCTGCAGAGTGGCCAAACCTCCTAGCAAGCACTTCCCTGGCTTCTGCTGACCGCAACGAAGACGACCCTCGAAGAAAATGTGTGATGCACTCGGGCCAGTCGGCTCCAGGGACCACACATTCGCTCAATAACACGCATAGACATTTCCCCTTACTTTTTAGGAGAAAAAAATCTGCGTGTTATAGAGGGGAAAATACGGTATATCAGTAGACTTCTCCATGGTCCTGAAATGGTGCAGAAGTAGCCCACCAGGGCCACATCAACAAGCATTTGACAAAACTGGAAAACGGCAGGTAAATCATCTCTTTAAGTTACATAAATCTTTTTATAAATTCAAGTAGCCACAGGGGAGACTGATCAGGCTTAAAATGGTGGGAGTAGAAAAGGAGCTAGACTTTTTCCACTCTTGCCATGGCACTGATGAAAACCACATTTCCAAAGCAGGGAGTTCCAGTTCTAGTGCCAACAGAGGCTTCCTCTTGATGAAAAAAGTTGTATGTCTGATTTTCTGAGATTTTCATTGAAACCACAGTGGGGAGAAGGCAAAACTCTTGTTACTATTTGGTTTTTGAGAAAAGAAACTAATAGGAACAAACTGATCATTAGATTATAAAGGTGTTTTAATTAAAAAAAAATACTTACATAACAGGCCTCCTATGGCTGTGTACACAGTGGACTCATTGCTAATCTTGTCAGCAATCTTGCACACCTTTTATAATCTATTTAAGACCACAAAAATGAAGTTAACATTAATCATGTGTTTAATTTCCTAGGGTGTAAGTCCAGTTTCATTTGCCATCAGCTGCAAAATGTAGGTGTTTTAGGGAGTTTTTTATATAAGTAGTTTTCAACATACATTACATTCAGCGTGGCACTACATTCAGCTCTGGCACCAGGTGAAATATGCCACTGAAAGTTGACAGCGCTCAAGGTTGATTTGGCATAGCTCTGAACACCAGTTCCTGGGAATCTCAAGTGGAAGAGTGCCACCACACTCACTACCCTACTTGTGGTCTTCCCAAAGGCCTCAAGTTTGCCAATGGAGAACAGAATGCTGGACTAGTCTAACCCAGCAAGGCTCTTCTTATGTTCTTAGTGGCAGTGGACACATGTGTATTCCACTCTCAAGAAAGACTGGGGGAAATGACTTGGTGTTAAGAACCTGCTCAACCCTGGCCTAAGACCAGACAGACAGGACAATGAAACATGGAAGTAGTTTTTAGCTGGAACTTACAGGCTGGTGTTGAACAATCCCGTGTGTTGTGATAGAGCCGGTGGAAATGCTTACTACATTCAGCTGAAAATGTAACTGGACCTGTTTGAAGATTAATCAAACACAACATTTTGATTGCATTTCTAATTCTATGGCAAACTAAATTGCACAAATAATTAATAAATAGTTCATATTTGCTTCATCTAATATGTTTCAAACCTTTCACCAGGTACTCTCCTTGTCAAATAAGGCAAGGTAGTGGTTAATAGAAAAGGGACCTTTTCAGTGATAGAACTAGGGGTGTAGAATGTCCTGCTCAGAGAAGCTAACTTGGCACCTACACTGTGGTCCTTTTGGCATCAAGTGAAGGCATTTCTCTTCCCCACTCCTGCCCCAGCCTTTCAATCTTTAAAAATGTTTAGTGTTTTTTAGATATTTTGGGCTACAGTTTTTCCTTAGCTTATTTTGTCTTTATTCTCCTACTATATTCAGCACTGTGGGTTAAACCACAGAGCCTAGGACTTGCCAATCAGAAGATCGGTGGTTCAAATCCCCGCGACAGGGTGAGCTCTCGTTGCTCGGTTCCTGCTCCTGCCAACCTAGCAGTTCGAAAGCACGTCAAAGTGCAAGTAGATAAATAGGTACAGCTCCAGCCGGAAGGTAAATGGTGTTTCCATGCGCTGCTCTGGTTCACCAGAAGTGGCTTAGTCATGCTGGCCACATGACCCGGAAGCTGTCTGCGGACAAACGCTGGCTCCCTCGGCTTATAGAGCGAGATGAGTGCGCAACCCGAGAGTCATCTGCGACTGGACCTAATGGTCAGGGGTCCCTTTACCTTTACCTTTATATTCAGCTTTTAGGTTTATTTATATGGTTTTAATTTCTATACTATAAACCACCCAGAGAACTTTATTTCATGGGTGTGGGGGGGTGTGATAAAGAGATATAAATATTGTGATAAATAAATAAATGTTCACAGTACAATTTTACTGGAGTTTCTGACAAAAATTACATATAACCATATTAATGTAATTAAAGCTACTGGAATAATGAAAAAGAAGGCCAGTGATGGGTGATGGGTTACAACTATAAAGGCTACAAAATTTTATCACCAAGACTTTTCACACTGGCTCCTCAACTCTCTTGAGCCTTTTCCAATCTATTGGGGAAAAGGCATCTGAAGATATTTAGGGAAGTTCAAAAGTTGGGAGTCACTTGCCAATGGAACAGCTAGCCTTTTAATGGGCCTTAAGATTCCATGCCCTAACCTGTGGGTCCCACTACAACCTGTTGGGAAGCAAATAGGAAAACAGCAGCCCCAAAGGTTGGACCTAGTAATTTACAATATAGGCTTCCTTCACTGGGAGAGGAGATAAGACACTCCTTTATGTAGGCAACACCTGGCAAGAGATTAAACACAGAATTGCCTTCACACAAAAAGTGTTCTTACCTGTGAAATGTTTGATGAACTTGTCCTTTAAGTTGGAATCTCTTGGAAATACTTCTGGGGAGGAAAAGATATTTCATTATCAATAATGTGTTAAAGAAAAGTCTCCATCAAAATATGTGCATGCACACACACACACAGAGAGAGAGAGAGAGAGAGAGAGAGAGAGAGATACAGTAACTGTTTTTCAAAAGCTGTGTTGTTTTCCACCTTTAGGAGGTTGGATGAGATTAAAAAACAACAACTAATCATCATCTGAGTATGACTTAGATATCACCATATGGGTTTATTAAATATAAACTGTATTTGTCCATAAGCTGTTTCAAAACTAAAACTGATACAAAATAAAACCAAACAGCAGTATTTACATAGGCATGCCATACAGAGAATATATATATTAGTTACCATTTAAATACCAGTCTCAATACAAAAACCTTTCTGCAGATGCAGGAGCTCTTCTGTATATACAGAGATCCACATATGTAAGGCATATTCTTTATGCCAGTGGAAGCATATATTCATTTGTGGGCATAAAGCTGACCCCTCCAATGAGTTTTTGCTGTAAACTGTCCATGAATCAGAAGACCTAAAGAGTCTGAAACAATGTGAGATGTGGGAAGTCCCCCTTTACTGTGAAGGTCCGTGAATGTTACAATACACTCAAAGCAATGGTACCCCCACATGGGGAGAAAACTGGCGAGGAGCAGGCATTACCTATGTGCTATGCAGCACCCCAACACTTAGCGTTGCAGGGGGAGCAGTATACAGCAAAAGTGGGGAGGCCCCTGGTTGGGGGGGGGAGAGCACTCTTCCTTCAAGATTACTTCATTGCCTCGCCCCCTTTCAAGAAGCTGCCAGCTGCCAGCTGCCCAATACACAATTATTTTAGCATTACATTTCTGATAAACAATAAAAATAAAAAGCACCACTAAAAAAGAGAAGTAGATATGAAATGTGTTCTCATCAGTTCTGGTAAGTTATGTTCAATCAAACAATTAAGATGTAATTTGGTATTTATGGCGATTTTTTGGGGGGGGGCACAATATCCACACAGAGTGCCGCCAAAGTTGTTAGCATGGATCTTTGCTGTGCATAAATACCAACAAACTGAAACAACATTTAAGGAAACATTTTGAAGAGTAACTAACCATTATATTTTTATTATCAGCCCTACCCTCTCATACAGAAGAAAAGCAGCATGTCATTTTTATACAAAACAGAGTAGTTCTAAAACTTGGTGTTCCGCAAATAAAAGCATCTACTCTTATTTGCGCAGGCTTTATGGACTTGCATCCTCACAGTTATAGGCAAAGTTGCATTATATAAGCAAGAGTTTCATCCCTTGCATAATCCCAGTTAATAATAATAAGTAATCTTCTTTATCGGGGATTTCTTTTTTATTTCCAATGGGATCTTTCAACTTGTATGCCTAGTCTTCTTTAGATAATTAAGCATTATAGAATAAATCCTGCCCCTTAGTCCACGGCAGCAGTAGCTATGAAAAGCTGGAGGAGTGGCCATACTACTGATCTAATTCTCTGACGCTTTGGATATTGTTGTTCTTGTAGGCACCAGATGGGGCCCCAAGATTAGCTAGGTTCAGCGGCACAATGCCACACAAGACCTTCCGAGTGACCTTGCAGAAATGCAATTTGTTTTTCTGCTTTAATCCCAAAGCCACTGCCTTTGCAGTAAAACTTCCTGAGGAGAGATTATTTCATGGGAAATAGCTTGAGGATGGTCCCCTTTATAGTTTAATTTGTATCTTCAAAGGAAAGCTTCTTCTTTCTCATAGTGCATGGTGAATACTTCTCTGAGAAGCAGTGGATCATCAAAGCAGACACATATCAGGTGATAAAGCCTAACTAGCTCTTTAAAATCTGCCCCCGTGGCCTGTTCACAAAGCGATGCTTACCACATAACTGAAGCTAATAAATCTAAGCATAATTATGACAAGATGCTACCACAATTAAATAATCATGGATTTAGCGGAAGCAGACTTACGAAATGGTCACACTTGTCACCACAGTTCTCATGATCAACTGTGAACCTTGCCAAGGTGAAACCAATAAATATGTTCGTAAGATAAGACCTTTGGGAAACGAAACCCATTTTAAATCACGATCTGTGATATACATGTTAAAGACTGATCTAATAGTGTTGAGTAAAGAAAACATTGCTATGGCACCTTAGAGAGACTAAGGATGCAATCCTCTATAGTCTTACTTTTGAGTAAACTGGAAGCTAACTGACTTACTGTTGAATTACTTTGCAAAGGTTTTAGGCTATAACTGATTTATTGAGCCATGAGCTCTTATGAGCAAATTCAAATCTCTCTCTCTCTCTCTCTCTCTCTCTCTCTCTCTGTGTGTGTGTGTGTGTGTAACAAAGTGTAACAAGGTTGAGGTGATTTAATGGATATGGACAATATAGGAAAAAATATCAAGAAAACAGGATTGCAAACAATAACTCCAGTGCTAACATATTAAACATCAATACAATATATAAACTAAGTATTTGCTGAACATTAAGTAACGCAGGTGGCGCTGTGGGTTAAACCACAGAGCCTAGGACTTGCCGATCAGAAGGTCGGTGGTTCAAATCCCCGCAACGGGGTGAGCTCCCGTTGCTCAGTCCCTGCTCCTGCCAACCTAGCAGTTCGAAAGCGTGTCAAAGTGCAAGTAGATAAATAGGAACCGCTCCGGCGGGAAGGTAAACGGTGTTTCCGTGAGCTGCTCTGGTTCACCAGAAGCTGCTTAGTCATGCTGGCCACACGACCCAGAAGCTGTACGCCGGCTCCCTCGGCCAATAAAGCGAGATGAGCACCGCAACCCCAGAGTTGGCCACGCCTGGACCTAATGGTCAGGGGTCCCTTTACCTTTACCTTTAAGTAACCATTGGAGCACTGGCAAGTTGGGACAGCCATCCCTTCCCACCCTGCAAAGCCTCATCATTTCCACTGGAAATTTCAGAGGACTGAAGAATGGGGTGAGCTGCTTGTTGCATCTCTGATGTTGCGTGAAGCAGCAGCAATGCTTGTTCCATAACTCTGCTGTTCTGCCTCATCTCAGTGGTAGCCCCCATCCATCCACCCTCACCCATTACTAGGATTCACCCTCACTCTGCAATCAGGGCAAGCCTTAGCTTACCGTTTTCGCTTCCCAACCTCCAGGACAAGCCCTACCATTAGGCAGAGCGGGGTTACCACCTCAGGTAGCTGATTTCAGGTTGTAAATAACAATAACTATATTACTAAAGCTAGGAAGTAGAAAAGCTTGTGGATTTTTTCTGCCATAGGTGGCAAAATAACTTAGCTGGTCTTGGCTAGCTAAGTTACACCTTGACCAAGATGGAGAGGGCAGAGTTCCATCTGCTTCTACACCTCAAACAGAACAATGTCTCTGTTCAGTCCTGCCAACTTCACTGAAAGTGCTAAACAAGAAGAGGCTAGATAACTCGGCCTCTGATTCCTTCCGTAGAAGGAGATAATGATCTACATATGGCTTGAATTCCAGCAGCAGATTTTGACGCACAAATTATGCTAGGCTTGAAAGCCATGACTAACGTAACAAAATATTCCCCCCCCCCCATAAAAATCCAGAACGGCTGCAGGATCTGGTTGCTCTAACAGCTGCCTTAGATCCCCATAGTGAGTGTTAGGAGGCTTGCATTAGTGGAAAGACAGGAGATGAGTAAGGAATAGCCAGAAAGTTGCCATGAGACCTTGAACCCCACTCCACCCTCCTTTGGCTTGTCCTGTTAATACATTGAGAGGGCAATCCTATGCACAATAAGCTAGTGTAAAGTCACACCAGATCCAAACCCCATTTATCAGTAGGGCTGCTGCTGCTGTTCTGGCTAAACCTGGCAGAGGAAAAACAAGTCTTTTAAATAATGTTCTATGCTAGGATGCCAGGTCACATACAGTAAATGACCTGAATAGGCTTAGGCTAAAAGTCCTCCCTCAGTGGCCCCTTTTTGGAGGCCTACACTGGCCAAGGCGAGTGGGTTTTTGCCCTCCTGATCTTCTCTGAGCCAAAGAAGAATTCAGTAACATCAGGTACTCATCTCTCATTGAGGCAAGTGTTGTTTCTGAGCCTGAGGATGACGAACTTTACCACCATCATTGCTACTAACACTACCCACATATCATTAGTGGAACATAAGCAAATATCCACTGAGCCTTGTCTATGTTACATCCAGGGTATACATTATGGCATGGGGAAGCAAAGGGCTTCTGAGAGACCTGTTGCAAATTAGTGTTCTGAAAATCCTAAAAATAAATACTACTTTGCATATATGGTCATTCAAAAGAGTGAAATTCCATAAAACATTTGAATTTACTGGAATTATGGTGAAGGAATTTGGTAAACCTGGTGGACTCATTTTTAGTCAGTCTTAACTATTTCTTCCCTCAGGTCTTATGGCACTATAATTTTGTCACTTTAAGAAAGAATCAGATTGTGTTGTTCGGTCTTCACTTTTAGTGCACATGCATAGATAATCAGTTTGTTGAGCACTGATTTTACACAAATGATTCTTCTACACAACTGAGTTGTCTGTAAATTGATCTATGGAAATTAGTACATGCGTATGATAGGACAATTGCTGCCCACACATACAAAACCTGAATAAGCTAATGTCATGCAGTGCACATGATGTAAAATCAACCCATATCATTTTAGCCTACACATGTTAGATTTTACATGCGTAGATGACATTCAAATGTTCCATCCTCGCATTGGTATGTGTGGCTGGTGTACACTAACTCCTTTCCATGCAACAAGCTAAATCAGAAGAGCAATACTGTGTGATCCAGAACCTTAATAGAAGAAAGAACTTGCTGAATTAAAAGAGAATGGCTATTTTCTTCTGCTTCATTGTTCAAAATATGTGGAAGTATGTTTGCTTGAGATCATCACAGGTCAATCAATAATCTATATGTTCAAGGCATGACATTTCAGAAGAGAATAACTATGTTCCTCTATTTTGCTCATGAGGCTCTTTAGGCTCATGTTTTTTGACATTTCAAGGGGCGAAAATGTAAATAAAAGTTCATTTTTTATTCAAATAAACAAAATAACTAGCTAAAAGTAATAATAAAAACAGCTATAAAAGCAGGAAGAATAAAATTAAGAGATAATAAAATAATAATCATAGAAGCTTTAAAAAAGAAAAGAATTTGTGGTGTAAAATACATTCCATAGTGGAATACAAGGTTCACATTTGTACCAAACATAACCAAATAACCATGAATGTTGCCAAATAATGTGCTAACCATGAGATTTGGTTATATAAATCACAAACGGTCCCTATACAAGCAAAGTTGGAGGGGTCCACATTACCCCTGGTGACACATATTTTATGAATCAGTTTTTTAGAAATTTCAATGAACATGCCTTTTTTAAACCACAGATCCTTAGAATAACAAGATGCATCCTTGAGAGATCACCAGATGAGCAACAACTTTGCAATGGAGACTTGTCGGAAGCCATAAGGCCACACCTTCGTTGGTCTATACAGCTTGCTTGCTTGCTTGCTTACTTACTTACTTACTTATTTGCATACTAATTAATCACAGTCATCTCTAACTGGTGTACAGAAGACTCAAATCAATGAAACTAAAAGTGAGTTAAAACAGCAAAATCAGAATTCAGTTTTTAAAACCTGCTGGAATAAACAGGTCTTCAGTGCCTATGACCCCTCAGCAGGAGTTCCTTAAGACTGGGCCTACAATACTGAATACACAGGTACCGGTAGATACAAGCCATACATCTGAGCTGAGAGGGATCACTAACCGTGATACCCTCAAAGACCTCAGTGATCAAGCAGAGAAATAAGGGATCAAGGATCCCCTTTTCTCTCTTGAAAGATAGGAGAAATATTATGGAAAATTGACACCTATCTATTAGGGTCTTCCAGTTTCCACAAAGTTACACTAACATCCACAACTAAGGTACTCTGGAAGGCCTGTACCTCCCTTGCAGCACTCAGTTTTTATCATCAGTGACACAGATAACAGGGGAACTGAGCTCACAATGGAAGTGCTGGTGTATGTGGGTGTCAGCATGGGACCAGGGAGAAGAAATTACATTTTGTAAGTAACAACATACTGCTGATTCTATGGAAATGTAATTTCTCTCCCTCAATGTACCTTGAAAACATAACTGGACCACTGAAAGCAACAGAGCAACAAGTAGGGAGCCTTTAAGATAGATATCAGACATTAGAAATGGCAGTATCTATAAACCAGTGGGAGAACATTTCAACCTCCCAGGATATTCTGAAACTGACCATAAAGTGGTCATTCTAGAAAGAGAAACTTCAAAAGAAGAAAAGAACATGAAACAGCTAAATTATGGTTTATCAAGAAGTTCAATGCCATCTCTTGTGGGTTAAACAAAAACTAATAAGTTTTGTTACATCATGTGTCAATTAGCTTATCAGTGCCAGAATAGTAATTTTGCTAGCAGACTGGATTCAAGATGCTTCTGAAGGGTATAGGTATAATCCAAACCATCAATCAAACAAATTTAATACCAGTATGCAGACTCACATAGGCTTAAGGAGTGTTGAGGAATATCAAACAGAGGGCAATCCTCATGTTACAATCTTAATTTCAAAATACAGTGATCCTTATTATTTTCTGATACACCCAATAGTCAATACAAAAAACTTTGGAATTTCTACATATGCCACACACTGCCACATTTTCAACGCCTCAAATTTCATACCACTTGAACTAAAAGTTCCAAAGTTCATGCTTATTTTATAAGTAAAACTTCAAAACTCATCTGTTTTCCATGAAAAACAGCCATCCATTATTTAACACACTATGTGGTTAGTGTTCTATGACGTGCACCATGGTTAAATTTCACAAACACTGAGGACCGGCAACCACACAGTAAGCTGAATTTCTCACCAATACAGATGCACACCTGCTGTTCTTAAATTTAAGAAACCTGGAATGAACAGCACAAAGCTAATGAGCTGCATGTGCCTCCCTAAGGCAGTTGTGTATGTCTTGCACTATCCTTGAGTTTCAGATCTTTCCCCTTAAAGTCACTGTATAACATTTGAAGCTGTATTTAAAAAAGAAAGGCGGGGAGGGGAAAAAGTGATGCCTGACTGTCTGGAAAGCCTGAAACCAGAAGCCATATAAGTCAGACTCAATGTTTATTTTCAAAGCTCAAAACTTCTCTAAACTATCATAACAATTTTGAATACCTCTCAAATGAGTTTGCACATCCTGAAAAAAGTAAAAGAGGAAACCCGTAGATGGGGAAAGGATAGAAAATGGGGAAAAACGTAGCTGGGGTAAAGCATTTCACAGGATTTACAGAGAGGAGTTAAGGAAAGAGGTAATATACGGGAATAGTAAGGACGGTTGAAAGCAGTGAGCTGTGCTTTTTCAGAACACAAAAATTTGACAAACAGGTTTTGAAGGATGGGATGCCAAAATAATGATGGGGACTAGACAGCATTTATATATTGATATAAACTAAGGTGACAAATCTTTGCTAGTCCTAGTAGAAATATTTCCCACTATTCTTAAGCACAGTAAAACAGTAATGGAGTACACATTTTTCAGCCTGCAAAAGTAAAAAAATGATTAAAATGCAGTATCCGTTTTCTTTGACACTTACTTTCAAAAATATTTCAATCAATTACCGTAATAAATCTTGTTCTGAAATGTTAGCCTTTTGTTGCTAAGCTTGAACAGCAGATGTGAATAAGACAGGGCTGGACCAAAATATTTGATTTCCTGAGAAAGAGCAGGAAATAGTGCCTCCCATTCTAGTCAAGGTGAGGTGGAAGCCAGAGCCAGCCAAGTTATTTTGGTGCTGGATAAAGAAAGCCCCTCCCCTCCAATCCCTGGCTCAGCAGTAAAACTGCAGTAACTGATGGTTTGCTGCCCTTTCATGACACCCTAAGTCAGCTGCCTGCTCCAGGGTCCCCAAGTGACAATGCCAGAGAGGGTGGCAAAAGAGACACAGTGTTTTCCTGGGTATGGGGGGGCCATTGGTGCCACTGTGTCAAGTTTCCATTAAACTTTGGCTCTTGTATTTATCTTGAACCCATTTAACAGAAACAAATCTGAAAAGCAATACAGTCATACCTCTTCTTGCAAATGCTTCATGTTGTGTTTTTTCGGGTTAAGAACGCGGCAAACCCGGAAGTGTTTACTTCTGGGTTTTACTGCACGCATACACACAGAAGCGTTCTGCACGCTTCGCACATGCGCAGAAGCATCGCTCTGGTTACAGACTTTTTGGGGTGTGCATGGCACCCTGGAATGAGTTGTGTCCGCAACCAGAGGTACCACTGTAATTACTGGTCACAAGTTAATATCCAGAAAATTTAATGCTATGTTTACATGCAGAAATCCATTATTACGAAAAGCTCACTATTTCTCAGGAGAAATATGATCCATCAATATAGGCAGCTGCCGGTTTAGTCCTTCAAGTACTTCTCTGTCATGAGTTCTTGTAATATGACTTACACTGGCAGGGTGTATTGTGGCCCAGATCCAACTAAGATTTACAAAGATCCCACAAAAAGAGTCTGAGATCATTGCATTTCATAACAGTAAAATGTCATACAAGAGAACACCACCACTAAAGCAATTTATAGGGGGGAAAAGATAATTAAAAATTCGTGGCAATAAAAGAGTTAGTGGTTTAATTGTGGAACAAAAAAGATAGTTATTTTTTATTCATTGTAAAATTAAAAATGTTATTGTGCTTTGGCAGCAGCGCTGCACACGACACTTTCCAAAAGGGCCAACATTGATGCCGAAATCCAGCATCGCCTGAGCTCTGCGAGTGCAGCTTTCTCCCGACTGAAGTGCAGAGTATTTGAGGACCAGGACATTGGCAGGGAAACCAAAATCCTTGTTTACAAAGCTGTTGTACTACCAACCTTACTGAATGCTTGTGAAACGTGGACCACTTATAAATGCCATCTCCAACTCCTCGAAAGATTCCATCAACAGTGTCTCCAAAAAAATTTACACATCACTTGGGAAGACAGACAAACTGATGCCAGTGTCGTGGAAGAAGCAAAGATCACCAGTGTGGAAGCAATCATTCTTCAACACCAGCTCTGTTGAACTGGTCATGTTGTGTGGGTACCTGATTATCAGCTTCCAAAGCAACTACTCTATTACAAATTTTAAAATGGAAAGCGTAATGCTGGTGGTCAACAAAAGAGGTTCAAAGACTCTCTCAAGGCAAGTCTTAAAAAATGTAGTATAAACACCGACAACTGGGAAACACTGGCCTGCGAGCGCTCCAGTTGGAGAACAGCCCTTACCAAAAGTATACTGGGCTTTGAACACTTAAACTCAGGACGAAAGGGAGAAACACGCTAAGAGGAAAGTACGCTTGGCAAACCCTCACCATGATCAACTCCTACCCGGAAACCAATGTCCCCACTGTGGAAGGACATGCAGATCCAGAATTGGCCTCCACAGTCACTTACGGACTCATTTTTAAAACCATGCTTATGGAAAACAATCTTACTCGGCTATGAGTGATCACCAAGGAAGAAAGCACACTACACACAAAACACACACAGTCTGCTATAATCCTGACTGAATGATTTCAAACAAACATGTGTAGGATTGCTAGAATCATGGAATTGTAGAGTTGGAAGTGACCCTGAGGATCATCTAGCCCAACCCCCTGCAATGCAGGAATATGCAGCTATCCCATAAAGGGATCAAACCTGCAACCTTGGTATTATCAGCATCACACTCTAACCAACTGAGCTATCCAGGTTAGGAGATGGTACTGTATCTTTCTACTGTATCTTGTAGAAATATTAGATAGAGATGAAGCCATAAAGATCGCAAACACTTTACTATCCGAACTGTACAATGTTCATGCAGAACCACCTACGAACATTTGTAAACTGTTTGAATTCTTTAAGCCAAACATTTCAGAGAATGTCCTTACAATAGGAAGGATCTACTTGAAAGCTCCCTTAAATGAAATTTAATGAAAGGATAGTGAGACATACTGTACTAAAAACATGCCTGTTCCTTGATTGTGTTAATTATTTTGGGGGCCGGACCAGGTGGTGAAGGAAGCAGCTGGTGCCAGAATGTTTCAAGGATAAAAACAAAGATAGAGGTTTGCTGCCTGTTTCTGTCTACAGCAGAATCAGGTCCTCAAACTTTCATTTCAGGCTTCTCCCATATTTTTCAGGGGCATTTGGGGGCAAATACCAAACCTCAAGGGAGAAGAGGGGCCATGAAGAAAGAAAAAAAAAGAAAAAAGGGGGGTGAATTCACGCTTTCACTGCTACGGTAAGCCCTTCCTCCAAAAAACTATTATGGGTGCAAAACCACAGCCTCTGAAACATCTACCTGGAATTCACTGCCTTCAGAATGGGGTGACAAATTTGGAATAAACACTTCAGTCCATTCCTAGACAGGAGGCAAATATGTAGCAGTGTGGAGGCAGAACAGAATTGGCTTCTGTTTGTAGTGTTATACTGCCTCTAATAAGTTAAAAAGCAAAACAAGAGAACATATGAACATCCATATCCAGCAGAATAAATTCTACCAGGTCATTTGACCCAGGTTTCAAAAACATTCAACAAAATAACCATTAGAGGTTATAGGATGGGTCAAATCATTCTGGTCCACCTACAGGTTTCTGCAAGTCAGGGCCAGCAGCTTCCATTCAGCAAGCAGCAGAAGCTAGCAGCAGTTCATTGTGTATAGATCACTTCCACAGCATAAGAGACCCTAGGCATTTATCCAATCTTTCCTCATTTTTTTTGGAACTTGTGCGAGTGCAGAACTTGGAAGACTAAGCCTGAAATCTTTGCAGTACTCCTATTACAGTGGTACCTCGGGTTACAGACGCTTCAGGTTACAGGCTCCGCTAACCCAGAAATAGTACCATTGCTTCAGGATGAGAACAGAAATTGTGCAGTGGCAGCGCAGCGGCAGCAGGAGGCCCCATTAGCTAAAGTGGTATCTCAGGTTAAGAACAGTTTCAGGTTAAGAATGGACCTCCAGAACGAATTAAGTTCTTAACCTGAGGTACCAATGTAATTTCATTTGGACTTTCTCAGCAGCATTTCTCGGTCAATTGTACACCATGAGTTTTACCATATTCTACAAATGTGCTACTTAATATTAAATATATATTTTGAAGATGTTATATTCTGAAGCACATTGCTTGATTAAAAGAATGGAAAAAGCCATTTGTTTGATGGCTACAAACATTTGTTTAATGGCTATTTGGTCTTTTGAACAACATTATTCTAAAATAAATGCAACTGTTAGAGAAATATTTTATTGTTTTGTAAAACATTTGGGAATATAGAGACACCACTTAAGATGAGAACAAGATTGTGTAGGATTGCACAATGCTTTATATAGGTTCTCAGCAACTTAGTAGGATCAGCATAGTAAGGTATATTGGATTTGTAATGATTTAATTTGCTTGATTGTGGGACAAGCAGCTGGAGGCTCAAGCAGATAATTACAGCCCTAAGCCATGAAGTAATCCATATGTGGGGGGTTGTAGAACAGTCACACATGATAGGAAGCTTAAGTTAGAAATCAAGTTAAGCTGACATTCACAACACTTTTTAGTAGTACAAACTTCAGTGAATGATTAGCATTTAGGTATTCAGGGAGTTTGAAAATGCATAATACTATTGTTTCCTGAAAGGTGGAATAAAAGACCTTGCAGTAGGAGGGGAGGCACATGACTGATATTTCTTTGGCAGGAGGGATGAATGGTCACAGGGTCAAGTTTCTAAATGCTTTCCCCAATAGGCACATAAAAATAAAAAGTGCCTGCTATTTAAACAACCCCTCCCTCCAAAAAAGATCCCAGGATGCACTTATGGCAACCTAAGACAATTTCCCCTCACATTGTCTTTATTCTGAATGCCGGTCTCTCTAGGGTTGTTGCCTTGAAACCCTAAAAATAAGAAGTGTTTGCAAAAAGTACCACATATGCTTTCAGTTCAAGCCTAATGAACATATTTAGCATCCTACATATAATTATCCTGAAGCCTCTTGACTGAGTCCGTGTTGGATTGTGCCTACGTGAAAATATTTGACAGGCAGCAGTGGAAACTGTAGCCCTAAATAATATTAACAACACAGCAGAGATTCTTTTCCTTTGGCAAGCAATTGTTACTCAAATTAGTAATGAATATTTCTAAGAATAAATGGTCCACATCAATCAGTGTACATTCATTCATTTGCCTGGCTACGTATCAAAAACATGCCTTTCAGCCAGACATTGTGCAGTTCAGTTCAATCAAATTCCTTTTCTGCCTCTGTAGGCTTCCTCCCTTGTCCCTATAGGTTAACATCTTGTTGTTTTGATGATCATGTTCTGTGCTGCCATTTATAAAAATTCTGTCTTTGCTTCCTCTTTTCCTTACTGCACCAATCCAGGACGAAAACATCCACACACATTTCTTGCAGCTGACTAGCTGAGTGCAAGTTTTCCATTCAGAAAGTCCAAGCTTCTAGAGTTATCCGTGATTTCAGACAGCAGGGCTGAGAAAGAGCTTTCAAAGCTCTCACCAGTCAATATAGATAGCACTTTGGGTACATCAGCCAATGATCCAAGTTTATATATGTTAACCTTAAGCTAATATCTCCAGCTTTCCATTCCCCTCTATATTATCCTACTGCGGTGGTGAAACAGTCCACACCCATCACAATCCTATGCATGTTTACTGAGAAGTCACCTGAATTCTATGCAAGTGTGTATATGATTGCAGCTTTGCTCTATCCAATGTTTAAGGTAAAGGTAAAGGGACCCCTGACCATTAGGTCCAGTCGTGGCCGACTCTGGGGTTGCGGCACTCATCTCGCTTTTATTGGTCGAGGGAGCCAGTGTACAGCTTCCGGGTCATGTGGCCAGCATGACTAAGCCGCTTCTGGCGAACCAGAGCAGCACACGGAAACGCCTTTTACCTTCCCGCCAGAGCGGTACCTATTTATCTACTTGCACTTTGACATGTTTTCGAACTGCTAGGTTGGCAGGAGCAGGGACCGAGCAATGGGAGCTCACCCTGTCACAGGGATTCGAACCGCCAACCTTCTGATTGGCAAGTCCTAGGCTCTGTGGTTTAACCCACAGCGCCACCCACGTCCCTTAATCCAATATTTAGCTGTTAATTTTAATGGACTATTCAAACTGATTTAAATGTTTCTTTTATCCCTCCATTACTTTATTTCCCCTGGTACAACAGACACATTGTCTGCTATTTAGTCTTCTTACTTTCTTTCTTTCTTTCCATCTTGCTGCTCTCTATGTGTAGAACACCCTCTGTGTTGTTTTCATACAGGTAAACAAGATACAGAACTGTGTTCTCACTCTAGGCATACTTGTTAGTTTCTAAAGTTATATTTTGAGGTCTCTTCAGAGTAGCCCATGCTGAGCTGTGCATGTCTTGAGGATGACCTACAAAGGCTTGCCATTTGGTACCTCCTTTCCCACCCCCCAATCATAGCTATAAGAACCTAAGAAATTCTGATTGACACACAGTTTGCAAGCACAGAAAGGTATACCGTGTCTTACATTCAGGGATTCGTGATTCACTGTTCCAGACATACAGAACTGACTCCAGACTCTTGGGCACTGTGAAATGGAGGAAACTTATACTTCTCTCTTTTGAAGAGTGTTTCAACCTTTGAATCCAAATTGAGACTCAGTGGGTTTTTGCTAATTGTCCCTAGTAATAAAATTATAGCTCTGCTTCCCTGTGACATGCTCTAGTTAGCAGCCTAAAACCTTGAAATATCAACTCCACAGTGATATATGTGTATATGTGTAATATATGATCCGGAGGTCATGCAGGCTTGGTTGGTAACAGTGAATATGCTCAAACTATGAGCATCTATTATAATACCCACTGATATTATTATTAAAGCTGATTACTACTAATAATAATAACAATAATAATAATAATAATAATTGTTTGTAGCACTATAGAATGAATTAGGAGGGATTACAGCTGCACTTCTGTGGTTAAAAATATCAAAGAGTTCCTTGAAGCCTATCTGCATTAGAAAGCATTGATTTGCACTTATGAACCAGTTTGTGATACAATAGAGATGAAGGTGAGGGACTGAATGTCTGAACTCCCTGTATATACTATCATTTAGAAAGATAGGCTATGATAGAGCCTTTCCCCCCAGCATGCTATTTTGCATCTACCAGAAATTCTCCATGTGGACGTACATTTAAATTTATTTTTTCTTCCCTGTGGTTAGTGGTTTAGGAATAGATGTAAAACTTGAGCTGACTGTGTACTCCATCTCTAAGGATCACTGGGCAGGAATATGAAGGGAAGCAGCCAGAAAATGTATGCATCAGGAGTCACCAATCCAGTGACATTCACTGCACTCATGAAAACCATCACTGGCATCCCAGAAAGGCCTCCAAACTCTGAACTTTCATTTAAAAGAGAAAGCAAGTCTCTAGCCCTCCTTGAAGGAAAGTCATGGAGAACAATTTACAGGTACCCTTCTAAGCAATTTCTGTGAAATGAACTAGACTTGCTGCTTCTGCTTGTTAGTGTTCTTAGCCAGTAAGTCAGAGCCGTAAATGAAAAGTTAGTTGTTTGGACACCAGGCAATAGTAATCCCTAGGGTCCTATGCTTTCCCCTCCCTTTTAGTGCACTTTTCCTGAATCTGTCTTATTTTCTAGTGCTTAGAATCTCCACTTTGCCCTTCCTTTCCCCCTAGCAACTAGGATGCATCTTTCCTGTGATGGTTTTGTCTACGATTAGGTAGTCCCTTATAGGTGATTTTCTGCAAATACTACTACACACTAGGTGTAGGTGGGTGTTAAAGGCCTGCCCTCCCAATCCCCAAGAAGGCAAATGTAAAAACATTGTTAAGAGGTTCACGTATGTCTTCTATTATGCCAGAGCTAAAGACCAAGCATTCACTGGTCCAAAAAGGTTGGTGACCCCTGGTCTACAAATAAATGTTTCCAATTCAGAAATCTACTAAATCAGATAAGTGATAAAAACCTTTTTCAAAGTTCCCAGGACGGCATCCACAGTTTACATATCCGTATTATAGTTGTTGCTTTTTATTGTTATTTTTCCTTTTACTTTTTTGCTATGACATGACAAAAATATGCATTTTGTCACATTTCCAAACCACTAACTTTTACTCAGAATAGACCCACTGAAATTAATGGGCTTAGACATTTTCATTCATTCCAATGGGTCAACTCTGAGTTAAACTTAGTTGACTACTGCCCAAAATTATTAATTCAATTTACATCCCACCCTTCCTTCCAAAGGAGGGGGGGAAACAGCTTTTTCATAGAAGGCCTTTGTTCTAGGAGCATCTTGATTAATAACCATCTAGTATGAACACTAAACAGTTTTTATTTGTTTTGCTTTTGCTCTAAATGCTTAGGACTCACCCGCTATTTAGGACTGCCCCTACTGGTGGTTAACCCTCACCAGTCTTCAAGCAAGCGGGCTGAAGCCAGTTAGTTGTTAGGACCAATGCCTAAGCCAATACCGCTCAATTCCTGTAATCAATAAAGTTGTGGCCTAATTTGACTCATTAACTTGAATTCTTGTGTCTCGTGTCTTTATTTCTGAGGGGGGAGGGGGAAACTCACCACGCAACCATGGTTGCCAGGTTTAGATCAAACCAGTCTTTGAAAACATGAGCTGGTGTCAGTTTCTAGTTGGCCCAGTTTGGTCATAACAGAAGCCCATTACTTATTATCTGAACAAGTCTTAAATCATGGCATGGAGAGAAGGGTACAGGCAGTGCAGGAATGGATTGCACAGGCACATGTCTCATGTGTAGCTCAGTTTAATAACATGTTACTGTACATTTAAACCAGGTGTTTATCATCCTCTCAAAATAATTTAGTCCCTTAAGTCCATCCCTATATTATTCCTTTTCTGGAAAGTTTTCTAACACAATCATCTACATTGCTGCTTATTTCATTCCAAACTTAATTGAACGTGTTGCAAGAATGCCATCACTGATAAACATACATCAGTAGATACAGTCACCAAAAACATAAGGGTGGCCTCGTGCTGATACAACCCTTATTCTATCTGATCATTTTCTATTCTTTGTTTATTGCCATTCTCTTAATCAGATTAAAATGCCTTAAGGCAGAGAGGCCTGTCACTCTTACATGTTTGTTCATATCTAAAGCACTGAGTAAAATCAATGTTTTGATTTTGCTCATTCAACAGTTTGTTCATAGGCCTTCTTCTAAGATAGATTTATTCAAACTGATGACCTGAAAGTAAATGTTCAATAGCAAGGGCCTCTGTTCAACCGCAAATCTGGTATGAAATTGTTCATCGGTCCATCACTTATTTCCCTACATATTGATTGGGTCTAATTAATTTCCATGTATTGTAAAAAGCATACCTTGCCCTTCAAAATTATTTGTCTATGGGCAACACACTGATCACAAAATTCAGATCTCAAATTGGTGTGTTGGGAAACAGTCCACCTTGGCCTGTGGTGTTTTGTTAGCCACTTGATTTTGACTCAAGTTCAGTCTATGTCTATTTCATTTCTCTCCACACCCACCTCCATTCACTACTGGCAAATCCAAGAATATCTGTAACTTTTCCAGAATTCAATAGCAATGTCAAGCTCTTATATTTTCACCCACCCAGATAAAGCCTACCAAATTACAGACAAATGAGTATAGGGATATCTGTGCTAGGCACATTTAATTTTTTATTTTTAAAAAAAAAAGAAAATTCCCATATGATATTTTTATTTTAGGTTAGAATTGGATGAAATTTGCAGGCAAAGTCACATCTTCTGAGCACATGAATCCTGACAAATTTTAGATGGATAACTGTAGTAATTTTCCTGAAATTGCAGCCATTATAGTTTCTGGATTTATAAAGAGGAATATCTTAAACTTCCATAGTATTTTGTGGGCAATTGGTCTGAAAATTGAAGAGATAGGGAGAGATACCCTAGAGTAAGACACTTGCCAAACTGCAGACAGATAAGACCCAGGGCATTTGTGCTAGGCAGGCTGTATAGGTGATTCTGGAGTGGGCAAAATCATTCCCTCTGATTACAAGCTAATTCCACCTTCTTGAGCCTGTAATTTTTCTTAAGCTAGAGACAAGTCTTTTAATTTTGCAAAGCTGCTCCCTCTCCCTCCTCCTGCCATAGCTTGGTCTTTCCCTTATATGGTAAGCTTGGAGACATTTACTAATTGCTTTTTATGTATGGCTTGCTGAGGCACAACAGGGCATTTCAAGGGTCCCTGCTTTGACTTATGCAGCTTTGCACACATCCTGCTTCATCTCAGACAAACTCAAAATCTCTCAGAAGCACCCTGCCTTGGCTTGGAATTCATCCATATCCAAAGCACATCTCTATTTCCCGCCAGGTTTTATTGTACTTTTTCCCAGGTTACTTACTCCCTGTATTAGGTAAAGGGACCCCTGACCATTAGGTCCAGTCGTGACCAACTCTGGGGTTGCGGCACTCATCTAACTTTATTGGCCGAGGGAGCCGGCATACAGCTTCTGGGTCATGTGGCCAGTATGACTAAGCCGTTTCTTGCGAACCAGAGCAGGGCACGGAAACGCCGTTTACCTTCCCGCCGGAGCGGTACCTATTTATCTACTTGTACTTTGATGTGCTTTCGAACTGCTAGGTTGACAGGACCTGGGACCGAACAACGGGAGCTCATCCCGTCGCAGGGATTCGAACCGCCGACCTTCTGATCGGCAAGTCCTAGGCTCTGTGGTTTAACCCACAGCACCACCCACGTCCCTTACTCCCTGTATTAGAAAGTTTGTAATGTTTGATGTCTCACTGTGCTTATGTTATGTTGGAAGCTGCCCAGAGCAGCTGGGGCATCCCAGTTGGGTGGGAGGGGTATAAGCAATTAATAGTAGTAGTAGCAGTGGTGATGGTGGTGGTAATAATCAATTTTTTCATCCTTTCCATGAGAGTAGACTTTTTAGCTTCAATTTTGTCCCCCATGCCTTTTAACATGTACACTGAGGTTGAGAACCTCTAGCCCATGGGCCAGTCTTGGCTCACCAGGGGATCCAATTGGGCTTGTGAGACCTTTTTCCTGAACCCATGCTTCCCTGCCCATCAGATGATGGGCAGAAGGACAGGATTTAATCCTGCACAGGCTGTCATCCACTGAGCGAGGATAAAAGCCCTGTGCAAACGCACCCTTTGAAGCACCTTGCATGTGACAGATGCTTTAAAGAAGCTTCCACAAAGTAATGTAGCCCCTATACTCCCGTTTGAGCCTCTGGAGGCTCAAATGAGAACATAGGGGCTATTTTTAAGTCTTCTACAAGTTTCTCCACTCCCTATGAGTTCCTGATTCTGGAGGCTTGAAATGGAAGCATGGGGAGACTTTGGTTCCCTCCACTTCCTTTCTAAGCCTTTGCAACTGAAAAATTTAAATGGCACTGCAGGGAGGCTTGAAAACCACAGTGTATGACCACTGGGAAGAGTGCAGAGTGAAGAAATACCATGAGGCATCTGTAGCAGCACAACCGGACGCCTTCATCTGCCCCACCAGCAACAAAACATGTCTTTTCCGTATCAGTCTCTACAGCCACAGCAGGGACTTCAACCTTCCAACAGTTTGTCTTCACCCCCAAAGGTACACTCCTCCCTTGTCCCCCCGATACAGATGCCAGAAAGACACTAAACACTTATCAAATTTGACCTAGGAGGCAGATCTTGAGAAGGATGTTGCTCATGTAGCCAAATGATTACCCACCTCTCATCTGCATGAAATCAATGGGGCAGAGGGAGAGTGAAGTATGGGATCATCAGAATTCTATGACTCCAATACTTGTCTTTCCTTTGCATCAAATCCAAGTGAGGGAGTGCAATCCATGAATGCATATCTGGCTGCTGCTCTGATTATATCTCCTGTTTCAAAGGCAAATATTACTGCCTGAATCTATTCTCCCCCCCCCCCCCCCGTTATCACTGTATCTTTTGATGTAGTCACTGGCACCCAGTGTCCAAAATTGTATGTGACATTTAATAACACTTTGTTCTGCATCTGTTTCATTTTCTCTGCCTTGAGACTCTAGTATCCAGTGCAGGTGCATTTGCACTCAGTGGTTATTGCTTATTCCAATGTTAATCAAATCATCAAGCACCCACCCCATAAATAGTGAATGGTAACTAAGGAAGTCTCCACAAAAGTTAAGTGACCCAAGCTCCTTCTGGTTCCCTTGTAATTTGAGCAACGGACCTTATGGTCCAAATGTTTCATATTATTGTTAAGACTACTATTATTGGGTTGTATCCAGTGGTGGCTTTGAGTAAGCACTAAGCATTTCTGCTTCTGCAAGGTGGGGCTCCCAGTTTTTTGCTGTTTCCCCAACTCACTGCAGCTTCCCATGCCCCCCAAGCTACCCCTGAGGATATGAGACACAGAGGAGGCAAAAATAACAACAAACGAAGTTAGAGCAGAGTCAGAAAGGCAAGAGAAATAAAGGATGATTGATGCATTTATTTATGCAAACCACTGTCCAGCATATCAGATGATGAAAAATGTTATGTTTTCTCTCAATTTAAAACCTTCTATCAGCAAGAAACCTACACATATTGGGTCAGTTGCTTATTTAGGAACTGAACTGTGAGAGATTTAGTTTGAAGCCATTAGTCCAATTAGTATCTGCTATGCTTGCTTGTAGTATATTTTGCTGGACTGGGATGTTTGCCAGTGAAATGAGGGATAGCATGTCAGCCCCACAGTTCGAAACTGACATTATAAAAGTAGGGCAAATAAATTAGGTCTCAGTCATAGTAAGGGAAATCAAAGCAAGAAGCAACTCAATAACTATTTAATAAGACTCATACTATGGGAATTCAAGAAAAACAACAGGTGCTGTGATTCAAGCATCAAAAGAATATACATTTGTGCTCCTTTTTCTAAAACATGTGATTACCTTCTCACAGTTTCTATCAAGTAGACACCACCTCTGTGGTTTTAGGGCTATTAATTTAAGAGAGTCATCAGGGAAAATAAAGAGTAACTAAGGAACCTAAGAAGTATAACTATACACTACCAATTGTATGTTTCACAGAATAGCAAACTTCAGAATACACCATGCTTTACAATTCTTAATCATTGGTGGGGCATCCGCATGCAATTAATCATTTCAATTCAGAATTGGTTTGGGTTTCCCCCAAGCCTTGAGAATGCTTAGAAAAGTATTCAGCTTATGATAAAAATTCTCCAATGCATGACAAGACCCACCAGCTCTTTCATCTGCCAATTTCTATCATCATCTCCTTTACTGTATTTTTCCCAAACTTATGAGGGGCAATGGGATGGGAAGGATATGGCAGCCGAGCATTTCTGCAAAAGCAGAGGGCTTTCCCCAAGTTTTCAGCTCTGTGCAGTCAAGACCTCTGGTCATGCATGGGCCCACCATTTTTACAGGAAATGTGGCAAATGAGATAGCTTATCAGAGTGAACTGAAGGCAGTTCCATCCAGAGTCAGAAATATCAACCAAGCACACCAAGAAGGTTTTTTTGCTTTGGAATGGAAATGTCTTCAACTTACTGTGAGAAGAACTTTTTGTTTTTGTTTTTAAAAAACCTTCTGGTCAATGAATAAAGAGGATGAAAAATACTACGTGGACAAAATGGACTGTTTCAAGAGGTGGCAGAGAGATATTTCTAGTTTTGTCTGGCAGGGCAAGAAGCCCAGAATAAAATTTAAAATACTAACAGATGTAAAGGATAGAGGTGGATTTGCCCTGCCAGACCTTAAACTTTACTATGAATCAGCAGCTTTTTGCTGGTTGAAAGAATGGCTGCTTCTTGAAAACACTGACATTTTGGATTTAGAAGGCTTTAACAACGTATTTGGATGGCATGCATATCTGTGGTATGACAAGGTCAAAGCACATAAAGCATTTAAAAACCATATTGTCAGGAAAGCACTGTTTAATGTTTGGATAAGATACAAGGATTTATTGGAAAACAAAACTCCAAGGTGGCTGTCACCAATGGAAGCGAAAGCCTTGAAAAAGCTCAATATGGAGGCCAATTGGCCAAAATATTGGGAAATTTTGGAACAAGATGGAGACAGATTGAAATTGCAGAGTTTTGAAAAACTAAAAAACAAAGTGCGAGACTGGCTTCATTATTATCAGATAATGGAGGCATACAATTTGGATAAGAAAATTGGTTTCCAGGTGGAAAAATCAAAATTAGAAACAGAACTGTTAGAACCCAAAACTAAGAATTTGTCAAGAATGTATAACTTGCTGCTGAAATGGAATACTCAGGATGAAACGGTGAAATCTGCTATGATTAAATGGGCACAAGATGTTGGACATAACATCATGTTTGCTGACTGGGAACAGTTATGGACCACAGGTATGAAGTTTACGGCATGTAATGCCCTAAGAGAGAATATTATGAAAATGATATACAGGTGGTACATGACCCCAGTCAAGCTTGCAAAAATCTATCATTTGCCCGATAATAAATGCTGGAAATGTAAAGAAACTGAAGGTACATTCTTTCACCTTTGGTGGACGTGCCCAAAGATTAAGGCTTTCTGGGAAATGATATATAATGAATTGAAAAAGGTATTTAAATATACCTTCCTGAAGAAACCAGAGGCCTTTCTTTTGGGCATTGTCGGCCAATTGGTGCCAAAGAAGGACAGAACTTTTTTTATGTATGCTACAACAGCAGCAAGAATACTCATCGCAAAGTATTGGAAGACACAAGATCTACCCACACTGGAGGAATGGCAGATGAAAATGATGGACTACATGGAATTGGCGGAAATGACTGGCAGAATCCGTGACCAGGGAGAAGAGTCGGTGGAAGAAGATTGGAAGAAATTCAAAGATTATTTACAGAAATATTGCAAAATTAATGAATGTTAGAGTGATGTTGGATTGAAGTTAAGTGGCCTCTAGCTGCACAGGCACACACAAAAAAAACATGGAAAATTTGGTTTTTAATATGTAAAAGGTAAAATTTAAAGTTATAATATATCAAGATTAAGGATTAGGATTAAAAAGGTTAAAAGAATGAAAAAATTGGTTTTTAATAGGTAAAAATTTAATGTTATAATATATTAAGATTAAAGATTGGGATTAAAAAGGAGGGAAAGAAATTGCTGGACTAACAAACTGAATTGGAATACAAAAGAGGGAGGTATGAGGAGGTCCGGGAAACAAGTAAATGTAAAAGAAGTGATGAAAAGACGGAATTGTTTTTAACTATTTTTTCTTTTTTCTTTTTGTATTTTGTATTGTGTATTTTTCTTTTTATTCTTAAATTCTTCTTTTTTATTAATGTGATTCTTTTCATGTGAAACTTTAATAAATATCATTTTTTAAAAAAATACTACGCTTGCTAGAATTCATGTTGGCAGGAATGGGCAATGAAGTATGGCATAGTAAATCCACAAACTATATACAGTTAAAGACTAACAGATTTGTTGTAGCATTAGATTTCATAAACGAGAGTCCACTTCATCAGATATGTGATGAAGTGTTGCATATGATGAATTGCACTCCCATCCATACCAGGTTATCTCATACCAGATGTGCTAGTCTTTAAAGTACCACAAAATTCTTCATTGTTTTTGAAAGCAAAGGATTTTGTTGCATATTGTCGATAAGGTATGTCATACAATTGGGTGGGGCAGATGGGCAAGGAATCATGCAAGCAAGATAAACTGCAGGAGAGGAAGCCCCCGATGAGAAAATGCCTCAAACCCACTGAGAAAAAGTATCAAAGAAAAACAAACAAGCAAATTGGGCACCTGTGTGAGTTTAGCAACAGGGTGAGGAGACTGGTACAGACAGTCCACTCTTTCCCATTTTAATATTACAATTAAAAATGTAATATTACAAATTACAAATTCTCAAGTGAACAACAAAAAGCCATTGTATCACGTGTGTTGCACAGAATGGCACATGTACCTGCTGGACAGAAGCCTTGAGAGTGTAATTAGTGCAATGAATTCTTGCCTCTCAGGGAACAAGTTTGATCCCTTAAGGCCAAAGTAGTCAACCTGGAGAAACAGAGAGGCAGAGAAGTTTGTGGATGAGGTCTTTAAAGACATGCCAAAAGCATTTCATTACCATGGACTCTATTGTCACAGAGAATGAGAATCAGAGAGGAACTATCCATGAGGGAACAAACAACTATCCTCTTGTGCCAGGAATCCACCACCAGGGACCCAGGTTCTACTGATAGTGAGTGATCTGATTATAATGGAAACAGACAGCTGGATTTGTCATGGCCATGGAGATGGCACAATGATGTTCCTGCATGCCTGGCATGAAGGTAACAGATATCATACTTCATCTAGATAGGTTGGCAGATAAAGCTAGGGAGGCATCAGCAGTCATTCCACATGTCAACATCAATGACAGGAACAAATAAAATGTGGTTCTAGAACCAAAATTTAGGTTGATATGTAGAAAACTGAAATCCAGGGCCTCTGCTGTAGCTTCCTCAGGTATGCTACCTATTTCATGCATAGGACCAGTTAGAAAGGTGGAGCTGAGAGGTCAATGAGCAAAAAAAATTGTGGCTTTTTATTTTATTTATATTGCTCCTTTGAATTCTGTGGAATTCAAATTGCAATAAAAGAAAATAAATAAAAGAAGCAATAAAAATACAATTAAAAATCAATACTGGACAGATATTTAATGCAATGGATGCACCACTTGTGGTCTTCAGCCATAAATCCAAAGACATGCCATGGACCACCCGAATGGGAGCCCCTGATGTACATGAAAAGGTCACATTACAGGAGTTCATTTAGCTGCTCCAATATAAACTTTGATTAAAGAATAAAATAGTGGTTTCAGATTTATGCCACTCACAATCTTTGAAGACTTTTCTAGTACACACTATATATCCAAGTAGTCCTTTCTTTAAAACAAAGGAAAAAAAGGTTGAACATGTGCTGTTTGAAGATAAAAGCATGAGATCGGTAAACATTCCAGAACAATTCTAAAGTTAAATGGAATGAAATTGGAAACCCAGTGTAATACTGTACATATAGGTGGTGACCAATGTTGTCTGTCTGAAAATGGAAGCTATTTGTCAGCAGAAAAAGCCAGAGTGGCAATTCTCAGCAGTTTCCCCTCCACTCTGCAGCCTCCAACGATCTAATGAATTGTTCTTCATCAATGGCCAATTGTTGTAATTTCTCATTGTAGCCTGAAATCTTCACATATAAAATAATGGAAGTTGTTTAAAAACAATGGCTTCTAATCTCAATTGTAATAACTCACAAATAATTGTCAAAATCCATAGTTTCTTCATGCCATGTTTATGCTAATTTAGCTCGATGAGCTGATTATGTCTCTTACTATCTTCCTGATATTATATCAGAAAAAGGACAAACTAAAAGGCATACAGAGTAGATAATATGTAATCAACTAAAAATGTGGAATAAGTAAAAAGAAAAAGCAATTTATTGGCAATTGAAACTGAGCATTCCTTCAATGATAGGTTGTTATATAAAATTTCATATTTGGACGTAACCATTTCTGTGATATTGATTGTGTGTGTGTTTGCAGAAAATATTCTACCAGATGATAGTGGTAATTTATGACTAAACTTACTTAACATTTGTCAAATTTTACTTGAATGCTGTGGCTCTTGAGTAGCAGCTTCATGCCAAGCATAATGGTAAAAGCAGTGTCAGAGGGCCTTGGACTTACTGGGAAAGGAAATGTGCTTTTGTGAGCATGGTATCTTAGAATATCATGAGATTTTTAATATTTCGCTGTATTAGCAAAATATACAAATTCAGCCATCTTTGTGTAAACTGCATAAGGCCATGAAAGTGTAAGTTGTATTAGCTTCTCTATAGTTTATCTCCAGAAAAGAAAAACTTTAATGAGTTTTATATCACTTAAAAACAAACTCTTCTGTACCTGTTGAACATATCTGGGAATTTAACAATAATTAAATTACTTTAGCAACGAAAAAAAAGGTGGAATAAGTATATGTAATTAAAATGTGCATCCATTTTTTAATTTACATCAGTGGCTGCACCTCTACTAACAGTGCTACCTCGGGTTAAGAACTTGATTTGTTCTGGAGGTCCATTCTTAACCTGAAACTGTTCTTAACCTGAAGCACCACTTTAGCTAATGGGGCCTCCCGCTGCTGCTGTGCCGCCGGAGCACGATTTCTGTTCTCATCCTGAAGCAAAGTTCTTAACCCGAGGTACTATTCTGGGTTAGCGGAGTCTGTAACCTGAAGCGTCTGTAACCCAAAGTACCACTGTACAGCCAAAGCACCTTGCCTACAGTGCAGATGGCTCACTTGCTTGCATCTGACAGAAAACTTCCCAAAGGCATTGTACAGACCAGATATATCAGTTATGCATTGACGACTATACAATGTACAACTGAACTCACACAGATTTGTCCTCATGTAGATGCAGCTCTTGGGAAAGAAAATGACTATTGTCTTCGGGTACAATCCAAAGACAGACTCATGTATGTTCCAATGAGTCAGAACTGAAGCAAAAAATCACATAAATCACTCTATGCTGGGTCCTATGAACTCCAGATGGAGTTTGTTGCCTCCATCTCATTGCAGCCTCCCGATCCTGACATCCAAAGACCCTTAGGAATGGTGTGATATGAGACCTGGGGTGGTCACAGCTGGAGGAGGACCAGCCAAAATAAGGACAGCCTTGTCTGGTGAGCAGGAGCTCCTTCAGTTTACACAAGCCGTCCGTTGGATCAAATCCACTGCCTTCATTTGATGTATTTTAGTGGGACTTGGGTACACCTAGCATTCTGTGCATTGTGCCTCTTATTTGCAAACCATCACTTTCCACTTCCAGCCACTTAGGCACTAAAAGAGAAAAGAAATTATCAAGATGGAAAAGTTTGACAAAAGCCGCCACTAAAACTAAGTACTTACTTAATCACTTCCTCTGTCTAAAAATCTAGGAATGTGGTGGGTTGGTGTCAACTGTGTTTTGCCCCTAAAAAATGTTAACTATAGTTGTTTAGGAAGGCTTTGCCTCTTTCTCAGTGTTAAAAAGAGTAACCAGAATAGTTGGGTGGAAACACACACTTTCTAAACAACAGATACATTTTTTATCTTGATCAACGTGGAGCCAGAAGCAAAATGGAAGTAATAAATGCCAGGGGCCAGGTTATGATCTGAGAACACATGAAAGAAACCTCCACCTTTTAAAAACTAAGCCAGTGCAGGAGATGGGTGCCTTCTGCCAGGGAACACAGAGAACAGAAATGCCAAGAGCCAGTGTTGCTTCTCCCTTTATGATTGCAAAAAGGATTTCTTTGGGGTCTATTTGCCTCCACAACGAAAGACAACAGCAGACTCTCCTGGAACTCCGGCTGCTATGTACATAAAGCTGGAAGGCTGGTGCCTTGAGGTTTTAGCCTCAGAAGACCTGTACCAATTAACAGCTCAATAGGCACTTGGAGAGCCTGAAAGTGAATGAGCCTTGCATACCCTGGAACTTTTCAGGACAAGGCAGGGAAAGTTAGGGAGATCTGCTGAGGATCAAACACCACGCTCTGTACTAGACACAACAAAACCAGGGCTGTGGAGAGCCAGACAGAGAAATAAGGCTTGTCAGAACAGCCGGAGCAGCAAGGGAACACACCGAAACCATGAGCGACGGTAAGCAAAGCAACAGGTTAATTTGCATTTTAAAATGGCCTAAAACCCAGCTACCACTTGCAATATGTTTGGGAAGCATCAAGTCAGCCTGGCTGTTTACATTTCTAACAGTCATCTGGAAGTAAAGTTAAAAGCAGCACTGATTTCAAAGTCATTTTGAAGTCATTAGGTCAAAGTAAACCAGAGGGTAAACCTTCTGTCCTGAGTTCAAACGATGACCACTGCATCAATGTAAGAGCGGTGAGCAGGGATGGTCCTATTTTAAAGCCTTCTCCTTTACTATGCGAAACTACTAGAGATGAGGAAAGCAGAAGATAGCACCATCGCGTTGAGGAGGCGCGCATCATCAAGGGAAGGCGGAGGCTCATTCAAGCTTACCTGGAATCCAAGCCTTGAGATCTCAGTCCCAGGTAGCAACTGGGTGGGGGGGTGGCGCTTTGCACATGGACAGCGACAGTCGTGTTCTTTCCCCTGCCCCCTGCAAAGGAGCTCTGACTCAAGCTGCGATGGGGCAGGAAGGGCGAGACCCGTTTGGGGTTAGGCTGTTCTCCGCTTACCTGAATGCCTGGAAGAAGTGAAGAACCGGGGTGCCTGCGCGCCCGCTCGCTCCCTGGAGGAGGACGACGACGAGATCACTCTGGCTTCTCGATCCACCGAGGCGGAGGAGTAAAGGGCGCCGCCGGTCGTGTAGCGCCGAGCAATGACCCGTTCCGCCCCCAACGGGTGAAAAGGCGCCTGGTGCTGAGGGCGGCTGTGGCCGCTGCCCCTCTCGCGAAGGGCTTTGAGCAAGAGTTCCAGCAGCGCCTTCCTGTCCGCCGCCGCCGGGCTCTGGAGGTCCCGGGTCTTGTTCTTGGCGGCGGCGGCGGCGCCCTCGGCTCTGGGCGCCCGTCCTGAGGTGAAGAGCAGGAAGAAGAAGAGGGCAGGCAGCGCGTGGTAGCGGCGGCGGCATGGCTTGGCCCCTTGCATCTCTCGGCCTCCTGAGGGGAAAGAGAGCGAGGCGGCGGAGGCAGCGCTCGGCGGTTAGCTCCTGCTGCTGCTGCTGCTGCTGCTGCTGCCCCTTCCCGCCCTCAGCTCCCGCCTCATCGTGGGGCTGGCACTGGCCGCGCAGCCTGGAGCTCGAGCGGAGGGACAACACGCCGAGCCCCGCGAGCGCGAGGCCGCTCTGGTCGGCGGGTTGGTCGCCGCTGCTTGCGGGCGCGCCAAAGGCACGTGTCGCGGTTGCCGCGCCGGGGAGAGAAAGTAGAGGCTGCTTCCCAGAGGCTGGAGCCCTCGCTCCTCTCGGCTTGGCCGCTGCGAGGGGTGTCAGGCCAGCTCCCCAGGCGCGCGCTCCCAGCGGGGGCCTCGCCAGTTGCCAGCCCGGACGCTCGCTTCGCGCTCGGGTCTGTGCCGGGGCGTGTGAAGGGAGGAGGAGAAGGAACACCAGGCGGAGCGGGAGGGAGGGGCTCTTGGGGCTGGTCCCGCCGCCGCCGCCGCGACCCCGCCCACCATCAGGCCGCCGCCGCCGCCGCGGCTTCCCTTTTAGACCCCGGAGCCCTTTAGGGCACATTTATAGACACGGATTATGAGGAGGGTATTAAGCAGGCCACGCATTTCGCGATCCGCGGGGCTTTAGGCGGGATTTGCCTGGCTTTCTTTCCCAAGCGCTCCTGGGGCTTTAAAGCGCTCGACGGACGAGTTTTAACTCTGAGCAGGGGGCCGCCAAGTAGGGCGCGGGGGGCTCCCCCCGACTCCCCCCTCTCGAAGGAGAATTTGTGAATGAATTTGTGGGAGTGGCTGCTTATCTCTTACCCGGATCTTTAGGTCTGTGATCAAATAGGGGACTCCACACACACATTGCTCGGGTTAGCTATCTCCGGGGCGCGCCGTTGCACCAACGTTGCGCGCACCTCGAAAGTGATTCTATGGGGCGGGGTACAGTAGTTATTTGGGTTTTTTTTTTCAACACTGCACAACGCCTGGATTTTCTACCCCACTTTATTGATTTTCCCCACCCTGGAATATGGCAATTTTAAAGGATTTGTAATTTGACATCTTTTCTAGAATGGGCACCCAGGACATGGAGGATTCGTCCGAGGTGCGGTTCAAAATCGAACTCCAGGACTTGGAAGCAGCAACCTGATTTCGATTTTTAAGCATCTCTGTTTAAACCTATTAAGAAATTACACCCTTAACCCAAAATTATATTCAGAAGCCAAAGTCTCTCTTTGTCTCTCCCTCAAACACAGCTAAAATCTTTTGCATCGCGAAATACTATATTCTCATTTATTTTTTTTAACCCTTCTGGAAAATTCCTCCTTCGTTCCTTTTTTTTTTTTTTTTACAGCGCAATCCTATGCTTGTCTACTCGGAAATAAACCCTAGGGAATAAAATTGGGCTTGGTCGAAGTGTTCGCAAAATTGCAGGTTTAATATCCCTCCGCCTCTATCATCGACGGCAACTACGGTATTTGGATTCGCAACCTGTCTTTATAGGGTGGGGTTTTTCTTCAAGCTCTGATTTGGGTGGTCTTACGCCTACACCCACCCATACCTCTACCGCTTTAAATCCAGCCCTGCCCATTCTGCTGAGTGGGGCCCTGGGCTACCTTCCCGAGGACACCCATGTTTTAGACCCCCTCGGAAAAAGAGAGAAGCGATTGGAAACCCGACCACGAAGGGACTCGGGCTCCCAAGCTCGGTACTTTATCCCCCTAAGTAAGCTCTCCAAATATAGCGAACAATGAGGATTAAGGGAGGGAGAATATTAATTCAGTTATTCACAAACCCACTTCTTTGGGTTCTGTCTCTTCCAGCTCCCTTTCGCCCAGTGTTGTCTTTGAAAAAAAATATCTAACGGAGGGGAAAACACAGAAACACCCACCCACCCGGTGGTCGTAGCGTCTGCACAAATGCAAACTTCTTCCATTCACCTTCATCCTTGGCAGGTGCATCGCCTGGAAAGCGATTTCACTGTTCCTTCATACCCCCCCCCCCGGGCACCCTGATTCATTTCAAGCAGAAATATACTAGTAGACAGAAACCCTCAGTAATACCCAAGGGGCCCCCGTCCATTCACAACAACGTTGAGAGACCTGCCTAAAGCCTGTCACGAGTCTTTTCAGGGGCGAGGAAAGGACTTTACCGTGCCAAAGTTGCCTCTTCGGTCCTGCGGCTTCCCCGCTTGGAGGCTGGTCTGAGATCCGTAAAAACTGCGTCCTGGGCGTCGCGTCGCAGCCGTCGGAATTGGCTGCCATACACCTGGCTTATATAGTTCCGCCTCAGCTAGTCCGCTGGAGTGCTATCGACTTTAGGTGGGTGGAAGGCAACGAAGTCTTCTCTTAATCATTCTTCTTCGGCTCAACGAGGGTCTCCCCCCTCCTTTTCCTGACCAACTTCCTCCTCCCCACTTTTTTCCTTCCCCTGAGGACGCAGGTTCAAACTCATGGAGATGACTCCCCTCCGCTACTTGTGAAATGAGATTGTCGTCCAGATTAGAGGATGCTCCGAGCGCTTTGCTTTCTTAGGTTAGTGGGATTCCCTAGCATTGACGTATGGGGGGGGGAATGACCGGAGTGGATGGGTGAGACACGCAGCAGGAAAAGTATTTTTTTCTCCTAGAAACTGAATTGAGGATGAAAGACCTTCATTTCAAAGGACAGGTTGTGTATAAATTGCTCAAAACTAACGGTGAGTTGATCTTGGAAGAAAGGGGAGCAGTAAAGTTAGCATCAAAAGGGAGAACAAAAAAAATCGAGCCCATTCAAAGTTTTATCTATGGCTGCAGAATGCAGACACACCATTTATTCAAAGTACACTCCCCACCACCATCCTGCACCCCCCCCAAAAAAAAGAATAGTGGGAGATGTAGTTTATCCTTCACAGGACTACGACTTCCAGCACCCAAAACTACAGTTCCCATGATTCTTTGTAGGACAGGGATTTATTTGGAATGCACTTTAAATGTATAGTGTGAAGTGACAATAAAATATCTTATGACACCCACAACTATAATTCATTAAATCAACCATGCTGGTGTAGGGGAAACAGAACAGCCTCAGTCCAAGGAGAGCATTTTAAACCCACCAAAGTCAATGGGCTTTGAATAGAATTTAAAATGTCTGCAAAATAAAAACAAAAAAAATGTTTTTTTATGCACAGAATCAAATGTTTTGACACGGCCCTGCTTTGAAAATAAGAGAAAGAGTCACTTTCCCACCATAGTGTTTACTGCTGCAAGAGAGCACTGGGACAAAGATGTTAATGAGATCCAAAAACAAATGGGGTTGTGGTCCAAAAAGATCCAAGCATATGTGAGCCTACTCAGAAATAAGTCTCATTAAATGCAATGGGACCTATTCTTAGGGAGTGAGCTTTAAGATGTGCTCCTTTGTCCTCCCCTTCCCTCACTTTCCCCATCCCTCTTCCTCCTCATTTTGGCTCTTGCAGGTTCTGCCACATTTCCCCAGCAGCTTATTGGGTGTGTGGGAGAATGTTTTTTTTAAAAAAAATGGAGCTACGGAAACATTGATCTGTATCCCTCTGAGACATGACATCTATCCGAGCAAACTCATTCGCTACTAGGGGTATCAACAATGTCATGATACTTTCTGACATTTTGTTAGAAGTGTTAGAAAGCTGACATTTAGTAGATACATAGTCCCAGTGCACCTCCATCTCACTTTGCTCCAACAGGAATTTAATGTGAATGATCCTGCATTTTAGAGGAAGGCCTCATCCAGACTGGAGTTTGATGTGACGTTGAAGCTGCTTAGGTCACTATTCTCTTTTGCGGCTTACACATGGTGTCCTCTTCCTCAGTGGCACCTCCCACTTACCTCTCACCCCCCTCACAGATAATCCAATAAGGGGAGAAAGTCTGATATAAAATTGCACATTACATGACAGTGGATGTACTGAAGCACATTGTGTGGTTCCCCCCCCCCCAAAAAAAAGCATAGTGCTGCTTTACTGACTGCACCACCTGCTAGATACGGCATTTCCGTGCACTGCATCCTTTCCCACCAGTTGCTGTATCTTTATAATTAAAACCACTTTTTGTGCAGAATGGCAGTTCCACAAAGCAACTGTATTAAAAGCAAAAAATAAAATTTGCCCATGCAAGTACAGGAGGCAGGAAAAGGAAAGCAGAAAGGAAATGAAGAAGCAGCCTCTCATGCCAATAATTTCAAATGATTGCCTGGATTTTTAACATTATTGCTCATTGGTGCAAATTTGCTATATTGAAAAACTTGTAGAGGAATGGTTGTTAAAATTATTGGACTTAGCTGAGATGGAAACGTTGATGTGGAGAACAGGCGAAGTCCCGGCAGACTGGAGGAGGGCAAATGTTGTCCCTATTTTCAAAAAGGGGAAAAGAGAGGACCCAAATAATTACCGCCCAGTCAGTCTGACATCAATACCAGGGAAGATTCTGGAGCAGATCATTAAGCAAACAGTCTGTGAGCACCTAGAAAGGAATGCTGTGATCACCAATAGTCAGCATGGATTTCTGAAAAATAAGTCATGTCAGACTAATCTGATCTCGTTTTTTGACAGAATTACAAGCCTGGTAGATGAAGGGAACGCAGTGGATGTAGCCTACCTTGATTTCAGCAAGGCATTTGACAAGGTGCCCCATGATATTCTTGTAAAGAAGCTGGTAAAATGCGGTCTTGACTATGCTACCACTCAGTGGATTTGTAACTGGCTGACTGACCGAACCCAAAGGGTGCTCATCAATGGTTCCTCTTCATCCTGGAGAAGAGTGACTAGTGGGGTGCCACCGGGTTCTGTCTTGGGCCTGGTCTTATTCAACATCTTTGTCAACGACTTGGATGATGGACTCAAGGGCATCCTGATCAAATTTGCAGATGACACCAAACTGGGAGGGGTGGCTAACACCCCAGAGGACAGGATCACACTTCAAAACGACCTTGACAGATTAGAGAACTGGTCCAAAACAAACAAGATGAATTTTAACAGGGAGAAATGTAAAGTATTGCACTTGGGCAAAAAAATGAGAGGCACAAATACAAGATGGGTGACACCTGGCTTGAGAGCAGTACATGTGAAAAGGATCTAGGAGTCTTGGTTGACCACAAACTTGACATGAGCCAACAGTGTGACGCGGCAGCTAAAAAAGCCAATGCAATTCTGGGCTGCATCAATAGGAGTATAGCATCTAGATCAAGGGAAGTAATAGTGCCACTGTATTCTGCTCTGGTCAGACCTCACCTGGAGTACTGTGTCCAGTTCTGGGCACCACAGTTCAAGAAGGACACTGACAAACTGGAACGTGTCCAGAGGAGGGCAACCAAAATGGTCAAAGGCCTGGAAACGATGCCTTATGAGGAACGGCTAAGGGAGCTGGGCATGTTTAGCCTGGAGAAGAGGAGGTTAAGGGGTGATATGATAGCCATGTTCAAATATATAAAAGGATGTCACATAGAGGAGGGAGAAAGGTTGTTTTCTGCTGCTCCAGAGAAGCGGACACGGAGCAATGGATCCAAACTACAAGAAAGAAGATTCCACCTAAACATTAGGAAGAACTTCCTGACAGTAAGAGCTGTTCGACAGTGGAATTTGCTGCCAAGGAGTGTGGTGGAGTCTCCTTCTTTGGAGGTCTTTAAGCAGAGGCTTGACAACCATATGTCAGGAGTGCTCTGATGGTGTTTCCTGCTTGGCAGGGGTTTGGACTCGATGGCCCTTGTGGTCTCTTCCAACTCTATGATTCTATGATGTGTTTAATCAGTGATAAATTATTGTTAATATTTAGTAAAGATTGGAAACTCCTTACAGACTTTTTGCAAGAAAAAGCAAATGAACCTATGATATCTGGGTTTGAGGATTGAATAAAATATTGGTTTATAGTAAGTGGAATGGTTGGGTGTTATCTTGGAGTGGATCTTTTGAATAATTTTCTATATGTAGCTGACAGATGAAGAATCAGAAGTTCTCATTTTCTTATTTTCTTCTTTTCTTCCTTTCCTTTTTCCCTCTTCATTTTTCTCGCCTTTTCTTTTCTTTTCCTCCTTTTGGTTTGTGCTTTTATTTAGATCAGTTTCTTTTATCTTTGATAAAAAGATATTGGATAGTAACCTTTATATATTTTCTTTCAAACTTTAATAAAAAATTATTGGGGGGAAACCTTCACATATGAAAGGTGCGTACTCACAAGTAAACAAATACCTGCATGCACACCCACAATTGACTTATAGGTGTCCTTGCTTGGAATAGCACCCACACATATATTTTTTTTACTGCTCTTTTGTGCAAATCTGAAAAATGTATCAGCTTGTACTACCAGCAGCTCCCAAAAGATTGCTTACAAGGGAACACAGCTGAGAAAGGTTCCCAACCCTTGCCTTAAAAACCTGAAGGACAAAAAGACAAGCCATGGAGTGAGGCTGAGTGAGGCCACCTTTTAGGATCAGACTCACTCAGTTTCACAACATACAGGGAGAGCTGTAGCTCTGTGGTAGAGCATCTACTTTGCATGCAGTATGTCTGCAGTTCAATCCCCAGCACCTCCAGGTAGGAGTGGGAGAGAGGGCTATCTGAAGTCCTGGGGAGCTGTTTCCACTCAGTGCAGACAATACTGAGCCAGCCACTATACTGAACCACCACTTGTCTTATGCGGTATAAGGCAGCATCCTGTGTTCCTAGGACAACCATCCCTGATGCAGACCAATTTACATCAACCAGTGAAAGCTTCAGAAAGAAAGAAATGTGTATGTGTGTATCCTGTGTATTAGAATCATAGAATTATAAGGGAACATGAGGGTCCAAACCCCTGTAATTCAGGATTTTTTTCTCCAATGTGGGGCTCAATGTGGGACCCTAAGATTAAGAGCCTCATGCTTTCAGCAACTGAGCTATCCCACTGTCCTAAAGTATATTATGTATTTCTGCTGGCTACACCATTGCATATAATTATAAGAAAGAAAGAAAGAAAGATTCAATTAAAAGTATCAAGAAATCAAGCTAGCCCACTTTCCCGTTGAATTGAATTCTATAAATTCCATAAAAGTGAGTGCATAAATGTGATCTTTTAAATGCTGTCAGTCATGCAGTGTTATGCTCATACCAAAGAAAATTGTGACACAGGCAAGAATGTTTCTGACCACATGTACAGGATGTCGCTGAAGGGTTGGCTAACTCAACCTACTTCTAGCTCCAATAAAACAACAGGAACACAGACTGTCTTGACTAAGCATATTGAGCAACTGAAAACCCATCTATCAGTCTTGGAAATGGAAGACTCAGTTTCAAATCCTGAGTCATCACGGTGATTTGCTGGATAATTATTGGCAAATGACTGCCTCCAACCTCAATTTCTTGTGTATAAAAAAGGGACAATGGTGCCTGCCTCAGTTGGCTATAGTGAAGATAAAATATAAAGCTGTTTCTGTGTTAATAGAAAATGTGATTTTGAAAATGAGAAATTAAATTGAGAAGACTGGTAATGCGGGATGATCTTCCAGTGGCAAAGTTCTGATATCTAATCAATTTTCAAAATGGCAGTGTGATAATCTAGATAGAGTTCATCTTTAATGTTACCAGGATCACATAAAAGGTGTTTTACTTGCAAATTCCTCTGTGTGAGAGAGAGAGGGGGGGAGAGAGAGAGAGATAAATTCAAGATCTCGAAGCTGTAACTCACACTACAATAAGTGGAATATCATAGGACTGTTGATCAAATCTGGATGATTGCTTTTAAGTGCATACCTTATCATATTGATTTAAAAGGTGGGGTATATATTTTAAAATCGTTGAAGTATGGGACTTCTTCAGCAAGTGACAAAAACTGCAAACAATAAACTAAGATGCAGAAAGAAAGAAAGAGGGTGGTGGAGGCCAAACCTAATAGAACCATCAAAAGTCATAGATGTGGCTGAACAGATAAAGCCTAATAAAGCTGCCAGAAAGGATTTAATAATTACAGGAATACTAAAGGCACTGAGCGATGCCTGGAAGGTATGGAAAGTGAAGGTATGAACTCATTCCTAATCAAAAGCTGATGCAACCTGGGTTAGGGAAATATGTCCCCATTGAAAAAATATCAAAGATAAATGCCGCAGACAATAATAATTTAGAGCTGAGTTTCCTGACCCACTTTTCAGTGTGCAAAACTATTTGCTGTGGCATATGGCCTGCGCAATCTAGAGGGATAAAAAAGCTAATTTGAAACTTGTCAAAGCACTGTGCAGCTTAATCCAATACATGTTCCTTCAAAACTCTCCACACAGCCCAATAGGAGCTTCTTCCATTTAAGAACATTGGTTTCGCAGTCTTTGAAGATTGCAAATTGAAGGCATATGCATCCATTTTATTATTAGGGATGTTAAAAAGGCATTGCAACATTCTGCAGATTCAACATTTGCATACTGTAGACGTCACTTCCTCCTCAGTGCTGCTGTGTCATGATCTGTCAAGATTTTCCAAAAACGTCTTCTTACACAGTCCATCCATGTCCTGTATCTGGACCGACTTCACACAGGCTAAAGAATAATGCAAGGGGATGTTGAGGATAATCTCTGTAGCCTCCAATATTGTAATTATTATTGTTCACCCAGGGCAAGTTACAACAATTAAAACATTAACATTAGAACACAATATTACAAAATATTAAAAACAGTTTGAAACAACCTAAAATTACAAAGGTAAGGTAGGGACTAAAAATAGACATCTCAAGTGTCAAAAGCCAGGGTGAAAGATCCACACTGAAAGCCTTTTGTATCTGTGGAAGTCACCCAAACATTTAAGAACCCTGGAAAAGAAGGGGGTCTAAAACAAGCAGGGAACCTCGTGGATACACAAAACAAGGCCAGCCTAACATTAGGCAAAATATGAGGCAGCAGACAATTGCCTTCCGCAAATTCAATGGCAATGGGGTGGAGGAGAGAGCTTTCACTTGCCCCCACTGCCCCTTCTCTCGTGATTTAACTTAAATCTGATGTGTGCATGAGGATTTTGTTTTGTCATAATAAGAGGGCCAGACTCTACCATGCTAAAGGGAGCTTCTTATCTGACCCTTCCCAGCAGAGGCAAAGTGGAGAGGGTGCATTTCTACTGCAGCTGGGGAATAGGCTGTGGGTCTTCAGTCAGGAAACACACCTGGTTTCCATCAAAAGTGCTGGATGCTGGAGAAGAGGCTTTAAAACTTTGGTTAGAAAGATAAACACTGCTGTTTAAGAACACTGTTACCTATCATAGTTATGCACTGTTTCTAGAAGGTTGTTTTCCACTGCTTTGAGAAGTTTTAACTGTATCATTTTAGTATTGACAAGTTTGCTGCCCTTTGGTGAAAGATCACACTATAAATTTAATCATTAACAACAGCAGGCATTAGAAAGGCAGAATATAAATTGCTTGTCCATCTAAATAAGTAAAGTAAATAATTGGAGGTTGAACCTGCTTTCATACAGTATATTCAGGCAATGTACACATGAGCAGTCTCTGAAACTCAGGGAAATCACTTCTCCCTGTTGTGTTTCAAGTGGTATTCTTATGTTGCTGTGCAAACATCAGGAATGTCTTCACCTGATTTGTTTCTCCACACCAAACCCCAGTTCACTGAAGCTGTCATCTGAGCCTGTGCAATGGCTGTCTGAAATGTACACACCTCAGCTTAACCATGGCTTATGTGTTCAAGTTGGATGAAGCTGTTTGAGGGAAAGCACATCAGAAAGGAATATTTCTCAAGACACCACAGAATTGTGGCTAATGTCATGCATACTTGGCTTCAAACACCAGCTGTGGAAATGTACTGGTGCTGGAGTAAACAGTCTATCCAGAGGGAGTAGATACTTCCCTGACTGCCCTCCGGAAATTTTATATCTGCATGGTCGGCTATTATTCATGATACTGCTCAACTGGGAAAATGACACAATGTAAATATAATCACTCCCAGATTTTTTGCCACCACAAACTAGGGACGGTTTTCCTCCTAGAGAGTTTAGGGGCTACAAAGCTCTAGGTTTGCCATACAAGATGTTATTGAAGGAAGACTCAGTCTGAAGACTTGGTCTGACTCCAACTGCACACCGGTTAGATCACACTTGAAGGCATACTTTCTCACTGTCACAGCCACACCATACCTTTTAAGTGCATGACTTCCCTCAAAGAATCCTCACAGAACTACAATTCCCTGCACCCTTAACAAACCATGGTTCCCAGGATTCTTTGGAGAAAGCCATGAGCTTGAACTGTGGTTGCTATGTATGGTGTGCATGGTGACAAAGACATCTATAGCTCTGTTCATGTGATCAAAGAGCAAGTGTGAGCATACCGTGTGGAGGAGGTATGAGAATGTGCTCACCAGCTGTGCCCCCAACATCACCATTCCCATCGCTCCAACCCGACTGCCTCATGGGAAGGTCAAACGTGTGGTTCTTCATGTATGAACTTACCTTCCTGCAGTCGAGAACCTTCCCAGTTGCATAGAGGATTCTAAGCACGTTATGCTGAAAGCACTTAGACTCCCCTTTAAGAACTTCCCACTAAACACAAGAAATTGAGGGGCTCACAGGGACAGTGGAGGTGGTGCGTGCCCCCCCCATAAGCACTTTCTGCCCACATGTCTTATTTGAGCACAACGCTATTGTGTCTGCTCAGTCTTTGCCTGCAGAGATTTCCTGGGTGATAAAGAGCTTATTATATGCTAAGCCCTGGGATGGTTTGCTGGAACATTCAGAGGCTTGCTGTGGCTTATTTGCAAGGCACTTTGTGGATAAAATCACTCACATCTGTTTCAATGGATTCCACTTTAGATGGAGTGGTTCATGCACATACACAGAAAGAGAGACAGACAGAGACACATCACTGTTCCTTGAATAAGGCTTTAAAGTTCAGCACCAGTACTTTGAATTGAGCTTGAAAGCAAATATGTGTCTATGAATATGGCTTCATACATGGATAATATTATCTAATCTGCAGGTGCCAAGCAGCAGCGAAATTATGAACCAGATAAAGTTTCTGAATTGTCTTCAAAGGCAGTTGCAAAAGGAGTTCATTACAGAGATCAAATTTCAGTGCAACTAGGGCATGAATGACGGGTGTCATTTATGGATCACATGCATTCAGGTACACCGGGGATGTTACAGTATACAGAATCCAAAAAAGAGATGTTTCCTGTATGTACCTCTCTGTTCCTTACCATTTGAAAGGATCCCCAACCCCATTTTGGGTTGTGGGGAGGACATTTTTACCAAATAGTAAAATCAATGGAGTAAATGGCTTTCACCCCAGCCCACTACAAACTAAATCAACAGCTTATAATTTATGCTTCCTAATTTTTACTACCATGCACTTTAGTTAATGGATTTTTTATTTTTTTGTGATAAGAAGCACATAATTATGTGTTCCAAAATATCGCCCCCCTCCCATGTCAAATTTAATACAATGACCTTTTTCTTATCAATTAGGCAGCAATTACATCTCTTATCTTGTTCCCATAATACTTCCATGCCAAGCCAATGTGATGAGGACAGTACACTAAGTGCTGGGTGCAAAAACAATTCTAGATGTGTCC